TCCTTGGTCTGATTTTCTCTTCAGGAGAGAGTTTTGACTTGTGGAAATGATAGTGGCTAGTAGATTTGTGGTTTGTTACTGCCTCCTTGGTCTGATTTTCTCCTTGAGTTTGATTGTAGGAAATCTCTGGCTAGTAGATTTGTTTTGTTACTGCCTTCCTTGTCTGATTTTCTCTCATGGAGTTTTGACTTGTGGAAAAATGATTTTAGTGGCTAGTAGATTTGTGGTTTGTTACTGCCTTCCTTGGTCTGATTTTCTCTTCAGGAGAGTTTTGACTTGTGGAAATGATAGTGGCTAGTAGATTTGTGGTTTGTTACTGCCTTTCCTTGGTCTGATTTTCTCTTCAGGAGAGTTTTGACTTGTGGAAATGATAGTGGCTAGTAGATTTGTGGTTTGTTACTGCCTTCCTTGGTCTGATTTTCTCTTCATGAGAGTTTTGACTTGTGGAAATGATAGTGGCTAGTAGATTTGTGGTTTGTTACTGCCTTCCTTGGTCTGATTTTCTCTTAATGAGAGTTTTGACTTGTGGAAATGATAGTGGCTAGTAGATTTGTGGTTTGTTACTGCCTTCCTTGGTTAAAGCATCAGTGCTTTCATTCCCTCTGATGCCACAGAGAGATGGAATCCCCTACAGGTGGGTGTCTGTCTTTGTTGACAACTCAGCAAGTTTCTTTGTTAGACTCTGTAGTGTGCTATCTGTCATGTTGGCCTCTAGAGCGTATATGGTTGACAGTGGGTCTGTGAGAAAAACCATTCCTGCCTGCAGGTGTTTGTAGCTTGTTCACATACTGTGCTGCCATCAGTGGGGCTGAAAGAGCTCTGCCTTGCAGCTGGAGCAAGTTCATCTGGTGGAGGCTACCACTGACACGGTAGTGGCACTTGGGCATTTAATGTTAACACCTGCTCCATTATTTGTCACGACTACTTTTGCCGATCCATCTGTATAGATTCTTGTCCAGCTGTCCCGTCTGGGAACATGCTGTTCAAGTGTTCCATTGTGATTCTGTCTTCACTTGACAGGGCTCAGCATTTCTGTTTCCCAAGTTTGGGATGCAGGTTGAAGCGCCGGGTGTCCCAATGATCAAAGAATAACTCTTCAGGTGTCCCAATGATCAAAGAATAACTCTTCAGATGTCCCAATGATCAAAGAATAACTCTTCAGGTGTCCCAATGATCAAAGAATAAAACTCTTCAGGTGTCCCAATGATCAAAGAATAAAACTCTTCAGGTGTCCCAATGATCAAAGAATAAAACTCTTCAGGTGTCCCAATGATCAAAGAATAAAACTCTTCAGGTGTCCCAATGATCAAAGAATAAAACTCTTCAGGTGTCCCAATGATCAAAGAATAAAAACTCTTCAGGTGTCCCAATGATCAAAGAATAAAAACTCTTCAGGTGTCCCAATGATCAAAGAATCTTCAGGTGTCCAAATGATCAAAGAATAAAACTCTTCAGGTGTCCCAATGATCAAAGAATAAAACTCTTCAGGTGTCCCAATGATCAAAGAATAAAACTCTTCAGGTGTCCCAATGATCAAAGAATAAAACTCTTCAGGTGTCCCAATGATCAAAGAATAAAACTCTTCAGGGTGTCCCAATGATCAAAGAATAAAACTCTTCAGGTGTCCCAATGATCAAAGAATAAAACTCTTCAGGTGTCCCAATGATTCAAAGAATAAAACTCTTCAGGTGTCCCAATGATCAAAGAATAAAAACTCTTCAGGTGTCCCCAATGATCAAAGAATCTTCAGGTGTCCCAATGATCAAAGAATAAAACTCTTCAGGTGTCCCAATGATCAAAGAATAAAACTCTTCAGGTGTCCCAATGATCAAAGAATAAAACTCTTCAGGTGTCCCAATGATCAAAGAATAAAACTCTTCAGGTGTCCCAATGATCAAAGAATCTTCAGGTGTCCCAATGATCAAAGAATAAAACTCTTCAGGTGTCCCAATGATCAAAGAATAACTCTTCAGGTGTCCCAATGATCAAAGAATAAAACTCTTCAGGTGTCCCAATGATCAAAGAATAAAACTCTTCAGGTGTCCCAATGATCAAAGAATAACTCTTCAGGTGTCCCAATGATCAAAGAATAACTCTTCAGGTGTCCCAATGATCAAAGAATAAAACTCTTCAGGTGTCCCAATGATCAAAGAATAAAACTCTTCAGGTGTGCAGTGTCAGCTCAGTAGTGAACAGTGTGACTTTTCTAACTTTTATGTTAGACGGTTTTAGGCATTTTTTTAATCTTGTCTTGCCCTGTCATTTGTATAGACGCTGCATGCCAAAGCTATTGAGTAAGCTGATCAAGTTTCACTAGCTACAGAAAACTGGCAAGGACAAAGAAGCTTGATAAACAAGTGTTGCAACCGTGATGAAAGAAGTAACAGTAATCGTATTAGTAAAATGACAGATATAAACAATAAATCACCTGGGGCAAACAAGACTAAAGTTTTCAGATATGCGTATTCCGTGGCTGAGATGCTGAGATTCTGGGCGTGTGTCACATAGTCCTGAAGTCGGATGATATGTTCAATAACACTTTTCACTTTGTCTTGGTTTGTGTGATCTGTGACAAGATAATTCAAACACAGTAATATAAATAACAACGCCAGACACACAAATAAAAAAACCAGAAACCCTATTTAAAAAATAGAAGTACAAATAAAACCTGAATTCATGGCAAGTGACCTCCTTATCTGTAATGGTAAAGGTCAAGTCGGGAGATGTGAACCAGCGTCATTGCACACGGTTGTAAACCATAAGTGCTCTGCCACCAGTACCAACAGCTGATAAGAAATGTCCGCCTGTGTCGCCGTTCGCACGTAACTCTGTAGCTACAGCAACGTTCCTCCATTTACCCTAGAGTGTCAACTCTGGTACCCATTTCCTAGCAGCTGGGTGAACCCCGGGAGCCGCCCAGTTTCGAACACCGACCATGGGCTGCAGCGAGTCGCAGCTGGATTTGAAAGCCAGCCTCTTATCGACTGAGGTCTCCATCTTGTAGTAGTCAATCAATGTTGTACAGACTAAACTGGCGGATTAACGGTGCATCTGATGCCAACCTGATTATGTGACCTGGGACTAAAGCCTATTTAAGCATGCTTATTCCATCTTTGAAGCAAAGACATGAGGCATTATAACACAAGTTGCATGGAAACCGTCAGCAGAGGTACTGTGGCTACTGCATCAAAGGACTGAGTCCGCATGAGAATGCCCAAAGTGCAGTGACATCTATTGTCATAAAATAACCTTGTAGTAGTAAAACGGTTCCTGAAGTGGCAGGCAAGGATTTAGCACCATCATCATCAACTTCCACATTTGCTGTTAAGCATCGTGGTGTGAGAAGTCTGAGGTCCAATCCTCGATGAGTAGCAATAGTTCTTGTCATTCAGTGTAGATGGAGACATCTTTTGTGTAATCAATCCATATTCTTTCTTGGGTGCCTCTTGTCCTCATAAGGCAAAACTGGCATGAAATGTATTTGTTCAAATGTATCTGCTCAAGAATTCCCCTTGTGGGTTCCAGGGCCCCATTATAGAATAAAGGAGAAGAAAAGACCCAGTGGCCACTACCCCCTTCCCCCAAAACGTCAAAAAAAGTTGGCTAATTAGGATGTTTTCTTTGAAGTCTGAGCTCACCTGCCTGAGAGGTGAGAAACCAACAGTCTGCAAACAAACAAGAAAAATCTGTAAAACAGATGTGCACACAAAACTCAAGTCCTGGGACAAGACAAGAAAGGCCCTGCAATGCAAAATTGACCAGAACAGTAGTTGCTAAGAAGAGAAAGAAAACCGCTAAAGAATTATGGAGCAAATTAAAGGATTTTGAAAAACATTCAAGTGGATAATGAACAAGGTTAATTTTCATGTTACATGAAGTTAGTTGTAGAAAACAGTAACATTGTGACCTTGACCTCAGAACCTCACCTCCACGCTGCAGGCTAGCCTGCAGATGATTCAAGATGGCTGCCAACATGGTCGGCAGACACATGGTGGCTGAACACTGAGCTAGGCCGAGAGTAAACAACTCACTCCAACACGATCTCACCAGAATCGTCTGCAGGTCCGCACTGAAAAACAAAACAAGAATTCAGACTTCCCCTGTATTTTGGGACAGTTTGTGTGTGTGTGTGCGTGCGTGCATGTAGAAATTAAATAATTCTATTTTCACACAATTTTTGGTGATCAACTCTATACAAGTGAGCTGAGTTGAATTAATAACTGACATAACACCCCTCAGGACATTCCTACAAGTGAGCTGAGTTGAATTAATAACTGACATAACACCCCTCAGGACATTCCTACAAGTGAGCTGAGTTGAATTAATAACTGACATAACACCCCTCAGGACATTCGTACAAGTGACTCCTGCTTCGCCAGCACAGTTCTGATTTTGATTTACCAGTAGCAGTCCGATTATATGGCCGTCTGTCCTCTCCTGAGTGTTGAGCCTAGAACAGAAACTGTATCCGTTCTTTGTGGAGACTATCCCACCTCCCACATGTTTGTGGAGACTATCCCGCCTCCCACATGTTTGTGGAGACTATCCCGCCTCCCACATGTTTGTGGAGACTATCTCGCCTCCCACATGTTTGTGGAGACTATCCCGCCTCCCACATGTTTGTGGAGACTATCCCGCCTCCCACATGTTTGTGTAGACTATCCCGCCTCCCACATGTTTGAGGAGACTATCCCACCTCCCACATGTTTGCGGAGACTATCCCGCCTCCCACACATTTGTGGAGACTATCCTGCCTCCCACACATTTGTGGAGACTATCCCACCTCCCACATGTTTGCGGAGACTATCCCGCCTCCCACACATTTGTGGAGACTATCCTGCCTCCCACACATTTGTGGAGACTATCCCACCTCCCACATGTTTGTGGAGACTATCCCGCCTCCCACATGTTTGTGGACACTATCCCGCCTCCCACATGTTTGTGGAAACTATCCAACCTCCCACACATTTGTGGAGACTATCCAACCTCCCACACATTTGTGGAGACTATCCAACCTCCCACACATTTGTGGAAACTATCCCACCTCCCACATGTTTGCGGAGACTATCCCACCTCCCACACATTTGTGGAGACTATCCCACCTCCCACATGTTTGCGGAGACTATCCCGCCTCCCACACATTTGTGGAGACTATCCTGCCTCCCACACATTTGTGGAGACTATCCCGCCTCCCACACATTTGTGGACACTATCCCGCCTCCCACACATTTGTGGACACTATCCCGCCTCCCACACATTTGTGGACACTATCCCGCCTCCCACACATTTGTGGACACTATCCCGCCTCCCACACATTTGTGGACACTATCCCACCTCCCACATGTTTGTGGACACTATCCCGCCTCCCACATGTTTGTGGACACTATCCCGCCTCCAACATGTTTGTGGAGACTATCCCGCCTCCCACATGTTTGTGGAGACTATCCCGCCTCCCACATGTTTGTGGAGACTATCCCGCCTCCCACATGTTTGTGGAGACTATCCCGCCTCCCACATGTTTGTGGACACTATCCCGCCTCCCACATGTTTGTGGAGACTATCCCGCCTCCCACATGTTTGTGGAGACTATCCCGCCTCCCACATGTTTGTGGAGACTATCCCGCCTCCCACATGTTTGTGGAGACTATCCTGCCTCCCACACATTTGTGGAGACTATCCTGCCTCCCACACATTTGTGGAGACTATCCTGCCTCCCACACATTTGTGGAGACTATCCTGCCTCCCACACATTTGTGGAGACTATCCTGCCTCCCACACATTTGTGGAGACTATCCTGCCTCCCACATGTTTGTGTAGACTATCCTGCCTCCCACATGTTTGTGTAGACTATCCTGCCTCCCACATGTTTGTGTAGACTATCCTGCCTCCCACACATTTGTGGAGACTATCCTGCCTCCCACACATTTGTGGAGACTATCCTGCCTCCCACACATTTGTGGAGACTATCCTGCCTCCCACACATTTGTGGAGACTATCCTGCCTCCTACATGTTTGTGTAGACTATCCTGCCTCCCACATGTTTGTGTAGACTATCCTGCCTCCCACATGTTTGTGTAGACTATCCTGCCTCCCACACATTTGTGGAGGCTATCCTGCCTCCCACACATTTGTGGAGACTATCCTGCCTCCCACATGTTTGTGTAGACTGGCAGAACAGACAGCCATGTTCTCTCAGTTGAAGACTGAAAATTAACCCACATTGACAAATATCCAAACTAAGATGTTTGGAAACCTCTTTTATAGTTACCCACATAAAGTAGGGTCTGGCTGAGTGGTTAATATGCTTGGCTCACAGTCAGGAGACATGAGTTTAAACCTCTGTGAGTTGGGACGATTTTTTAATTCTGATTTGGGATACGGGAGAACTTTTTGTGTTCTTGACATTACCAGAACAGTGAACAAAAACTATCTTCAACGCTGTTCTCTGCCATCCTTGACCAAAAGCTCTAAGCCAAAACTGTTGCACACCCTTTCTGGCCCACTTTCATATGCTGTTGACTGACATCTGCTGAACACAAGATGATGATGATGTTGACACATTGCTGAACACAAGCAAGGAGATAATGATGATTGTGTTGACACATTGCTGAACACAAGCAAGGAGATAATGATGATGTTGACACATTGCTGAACATAAGCAAGGAGATGATGATGGTGTTGACACATTGCTGAACACAAGCAAGGAGATGATGATGGTGTTGACACATTGCTGAACAAAAGCAAGGAGATGATGATGGTGTTGACACATTGCTGAACACAAGCAAGGAGATAATGATGGTGTTGACACATTGCTGAAAACAAGCAAGGAGATAATGATGATGTTGACACATTGCTGAACACAAGCAAGGAGATGATGATGGTGTTGACACATTGCTGAACACAAGCAAGGAGATAATGATGATGTTGACACATTGCTGAACACAAGCAAGGAGATAATGATGGTGTTGACACGTTGCTGAACACAAGCAAGGAGATAATGATGGTGTTGACACGTTGCTGAACACAAGCAAGGAGATAATGATGGTGTTGACACATTCCTGAACACAAGCAAGGAGATAATGATGATGTTGACACGTTGCTGAACACAAGCAAGGAGATAATGATGGTGTTGACACATTGCTGAACACAAGCAAGGAGATGATGATGATGTTGACACGTTGCTGAACACAAGCAAGGAGATAATGATGGTGTTGACACATTCCTGAACACAAGCAAGGAGATAATGATGATGTTGACACGTTGCTGAACACAAGCAAGGAGATAATGATGGTGTTGACACATTGCTGAACACAAGCAAGGAGATGATGATGATGTTGACACATTGCTGAACACAAGCAAGGAGTTAATGATGATGTTCACTTATTGCTGAACACAAGCAAGGAGATAATGATGATGTTGACTTATTGCTGAACACAAGCCAGGAGATAATGATGGTGTTGACACATTCCTGAACACAAGCAAGGAGATGATGATGATGATGTTGACACATTCCTGAACACAAGTAAGTAGATAATGATTGTGTTGACACATTGCTGAACAAAAGCAAGGAGATGATGATGATGTTGACACATTGCTGAACAAAAGCAAGGAGATGATGATGATTGTGTTGACACATTGCTGAACACAAGCAAGGAGATGATGATGATGTTGACACATTGCTGAACACAAGCAAGGAGATAATGATGATGTTGACACATTGCTGAACACAAGCAAGAAGATGATGATGGTGTTGACACATTGCTGAACACAAGCAAGGAGATGATGATGATGTTGACACATTGCTGAACAAAAGCAAGGAGATGATGATGATTGTGTTGACACATTGCTGAACACAAGCAAGGAGATGATGATGATGTTGACACATTGCTGAACACAAGCAAGGAGATAATGATGATGTTGACACATTGCTGAACACAAGCAAGGGAGATGATGATGGTGTTGACACATTGCTGAACACAAGCAAGGAGATGATGATGATGGTGTTGACACATTGCTGAACAAAAGCAAGGAGATGATGATGGTGTTGACACATTGCTGAACACAAGCAAGGAGATGATGATGGTGTTGACACATTGCTGAACACAAGCAAGGAGATAATGATGGTGTTGACACATTGCTGAACACAAGCAAGGAGATAATGATGAATGATGATGGTGTTGACACATTGCTGAACACAAGCAAGGAGATAATGATGGTGTTGACACATTGCTGAACACAAGCAAGGAGATGATGATGATGTTGACACATTGCTGAACACAAGCAAGGAGATAATGATGGTGTTGACACATTGCTGAACACAAGCAAGGAGATGATGATGATGTTGACACATTGCTGAACACAAGCAAGGAGATGATGGTGATGTTGACACATTGCTGAACACAAGCAAGGAGATGATGATGATGTTGACACACTCCTGAACACAAGCAAGGAGATAATGATGATGTTGACACATTGCTGAACACAAGCAAGGAGATAATGATGGTGTTGACACATTCCTGAACACAAACAAGGAGACGATGATGATGTTGACACATTGCTGAACACAAGCAAGGAGACGATGATGATGTTGACACATTCCTGAACACAAGCAAGGAGATGATGATGGTGTTGACACATTGCTGAACACAAGCAAGGAGATAATGATGATGTTGACACATTCCTGAACACAAGCAAGGAGATAATGATGATGTTGACACGTTGCTGAACACAAGCAAGGAGATAATGATGGTGTTGACACATTGCTGAACACAAGCAAGGAGATGATGATGATGTTGACACATTGCTGAACACAAGCAAGGAGATAATGATGATGTTCACTTATTGCTGAACACAAGCAAGGAGATAATGATGATGTTGACTTATTGCTGAACACAAGCCAGGAGATAATGATGGTGTTGACACATTCCTGAACACAAGCAAGGAGATGATGATGATGTTGACACATTCCTGAACACAAGTAAGTAGATAATGATTGTGTTGACACATTGCTGAACATAAGCAAGGAGATGATGATGATGTTGACACATTGCTGAACAAAAGCAAGGAGATGATGATGATTGTGTTGACACATTGCTGAACACAAGCAAGGAGATGATGATGATGTTGACACATTGCTGAACACAAGCAAGGAGATAATGATGATGTTGACACATTGCTGAACACAAGCAAGAAGATGATGATGGTGTTGACACATTGCTGAACACAAGCAAGGAGATGATGATGATGTTGACACATTGCTGAACAAAAGCAAGGAGATGATGATGATTGTGTTGACACATTGCTGAACACAAGCAAGGAGATGATGATGATGTTGACACATTGCTGAACACAAGCAAGGAGATAATGATGATGTTGACACATTGCTGAACACAAGCAAGGAGATGATGATGGTGTTGACACATTGCTGAACAAAAGCAAGGAGATGATGATGGTGTTGACACATTGCTGAACAAAAGCAAGGAGATGATGATGGTGTTGACACATTGCTGAACACAAGCAAGGAGATGATGATGGTGTTGACACATTGCTGAACACAAGCAAGGAGATAATGATGGTGTTGACACATTGCTGAACACAAGCAAGGAGATAATGATGATGTTGACACATTGCTGAACACAAGCAAGGAGATAATGATGGTGTTGACACATTGCTGAACACAAGCAAGGAGATGATGATGATGATGTTGACACATTGCTGAACACAAGCAAGGAGATAATGATGGTGTTGACACATTGCTGAACACAAGCAAGGAGATGATGATGATGTTGACACATTGCTGAACACAAGCAAGGAGATGATGGTGATGTTGACACATTGCTGAACACAAGCAAGGAGATGATGATGATGTTGACACACTCCTGAACACAAGCAAGGAGATAATGATGATGTTGACACATTGCTGAACACAAGCAAGGAGATAATGATGGTGTTGACACATTCCTGAACACAAACAAGGAGACGATGATGATGTTGACACATTGCTGAACACAAGCAAGGAGACGATGATGATGTTGACACATTCCTGAACACAAGATGTGGAAAACACATTGACCTGAACACGTTGCAGGAGGAGATGATGATGGTGTTGACACATTGCTGAACACAAGCAAGGAGATAATGATGATGTTGACATGATGTTGACACATTGCTGAACACAAGCAAGGAGATAATGATGATGTTGACACATTGCTGAACACAAGCAAGGAGATGATGATGGTGTTGACACATTGCTGAACACAAGCAAGGAGATAATGATGATGTTGACACATTGCTGAACACAAGCAAGGAGATAATGATGATGTTGACTTATTGCTGAACACAAGTAAGTAGATAATGATGATGATGTTGACTTATTGCTGAATACTGTGGTGCCCCAACATAACTGTCAGGTGCCCCAACATAACTGTCAGGTGCCCCACCATAACCGTCAGGTGCCCCACCATAACTGTAGGTGCCTCAAGATAAATGTCAGGTGTCCCAACATAACTGTTATACAGCTGCACAGGGTTCTGGGATGTGTACCTGTTTGAACCTTGAGATGTTACTCCTACAGAGTGTCCTAGAGAGGTGGGGGAACAAACACACAAGACTAAGGAGGGCTATGTCAGTGAGCCTACTTATCTGATCCTGCAGACAAATTAGATGCAGAATCCAACCAGTCATAAACAAACAGGGTTAGTTGGTTGAGGGTGTATGATTTTGGCGCAGCCCTTCTTCAAGTAGGATGTGTCAATGTCTTCTGCCGGTTTACACAAAGGTACCATGTACGCTAGTGATTTTAAAAAGCAAGAAAGTAACAGACTAGGATCAAGAATATAACAGTGAACTGACCTTGTGTTTCAACCAACAGAGAATTTTCACCGTCACTGTTGGCAGACTGATCAAAGCTGGTTTCTGACATTGAAGAGTGATCAAGCAGACCTGAACCCTACATACAACCACACAGACAAACAAAATATTGTTCAAACACTATCATGTGCATTAAGGCATTCTACCAGCTACAGATGATTGGGCAGAGTGGAAGAGCACTCTCTATTTAATCTTATTAATTAAAATTAAATCCGAATATAATATTAAGCAAAGTTTAGTCAGAACAGTAAGTTCGTCTTGTGTGTGTCTTAACAAAAGAGGACCCAGAACCTACATGGGAGATCCTCGTCAGCAATCAAAAGTTACCCAAGGCTCATGTGAGAGAGATCCTTGCAGGGTGGCTCATGTGAGAGAGATTCTTGCAGGGTGGCTCATGTGAGAGAGATCCTTGCAGGGTGGCTCATGTGAGAGAGATCCTTGCAGGGTGGCTCATGTGAGAGAGATCCTTGCAGGGTGGCTCATTTGAGAGAGATCATTTTCTTTCTGACCAGCAGGGTCTGGACAACACTTTGAGACTTCACCTACCAGAGTTTTCTTTGGTGTAACACAATCATATAAGACAGGGATGAGATTTAATCGATGTAGGTATTTCCTGAGTTTACAATGTTCCAGTCTGAGTCTTCTTTTGCACCACCCATAACCCTTTCACCACAAGAACACTTTAAAAGGAATGGGTCATGAAACAGTGCGCTTTTTTAAAAAAATGCTAAAAAATAATACATTTTGCAAACATTTATTTATCTACATTTCAAAAATTATTTTCTGAAATTAATTTATACAAAGATGCATACAGGGAGCAATTAATAAACAGGAGCAGAGTGAAGTAATAAACGGAACAAAAAATATGTGCGAGGTAACTCATGTGACCTCTATCAATGAGGCTGCAAGACAATTTGATGTAAACATGGCTTTAAAAAAGAGCAGCCATTTAGTTCACAATCACCCCACCCCAACCCACCAACCTCCATGCTATTTTAGTCAATCATATCCGAGCCTCCTAAAAGCTGCACAGGCTCAAACTGAAGCAATAACATTAAACTACGCTTCTCTGAAACAGGTCACTACAGGCAAAGACCAGTTTCATAGACTTAATGTGAATGTGGCAACGATGAAAATGTCAGGTTCTGGACTTCCCAGGATGACAACGTTAAAAGGGCAATTGGCAGATTGTGTTGTGGTTAACAGCACAGCTACATAATCTGTGCCATTCGGCCTTCGACATCTGATTCCAACAAACCTCTCATTGGTGGCCACGTATGATGTGTTTGTTAGGGAAGCTCTCATTGGTGGCCACGTATGATGTGTTTGTTAGGGAAGCTCTCATTGGTGGCCACGTATGATGTGTTTGTTAGGGAACCTCTCATTGGTGGCCATGTATGATGTGTTTGTTAGGGAACCTCTCATTGGTGGCCACGTATGATGTGTTTGTTAGGGAACCTCTCATTGGTGGCCACGTATGATGTGTTTGTTAGGGAACCTCTCATTGGTGGCCATGTATGAAGTGTTTGTTAGGGAACCTCTCATTGGTGGCCACGTATGATGTGCTTGTTAGGGAAGCACTCATTGGTGGCCACGTATGATGTGCTTGTTAGGGAACCTCTCATTGGTGGCCACGTATGATGTGTTTGTTAGGGAACCTCTCATTGGTGGCCACGTATGATGTGCTTGTTAGGGAAGCAGCAAGTCTATTCTATTTTCTTTCTGCCAAAACTGGGACCGAAACCCACACAGGAATTTTGAGTTTGACAATTCTAGCCTGCGTGTTTGTGTTAAACCTATTTACAGTGTCATGCTCTTGCTTATACTTAATGTTGCCATCTCTCTAGTTTATCTTTATAGATTTCTAAAGTGTCTTTGCCTCTTGACAGCTCCGAGATGGTTGGGGCTGCATGAGGTTCCCTGAAGTCCATGCAGCCTCATCTGCTTTTTCATTTCAGGGGATACCACAGTGGGGTGCTTGTGGCAAACGTTCAAGGACCATTTCCCCACTGGTGGTGCATCAGGGATTACTAGATGCATATTTTTATAGTCCTACTGGCACTTCGTGGATAGTGTGGTCAACTACATGCTGGCCAACTTTACTTCCAATGAACTTCCAAGTACTCATTTAAGGCTGTTGGATCGTGGAAGTGAAGGTTTATTATTCAAAAATATCTGTTTTTGTGCAGATTTAAACCCAACCCAAAACCTTCAGGCCAGTAGGCAAGCATGTAGCCACTACATTGCTGCAGGTCCAAGGCTGGTGGTATAGCAAGTAATCTTTTGCAAATTGAGCTTCTTCTTCTTCAGTATTCTGAACCCTTGAGGTTTACTGCTGCAGACATCACCCACTTCTGTGACTGGCCACCTTTCTGGTAGGTCTGCCTGTTTATCTCTTCACGATCTTCTGGTTTTGCCTCATGGTCTTTCCACTCTTTTGTGTGCAAAGTTTTTGTCTCTTTTATTATCTGCCATTCGCTCGATATATCCCAACCACCACTGTCTATTAGCCTGAACTAATAAGACAGATGACAAACACAAATACAACTAAAAAACAAACTCACATGTCCTTGCGGACTCTGTACAACTTTAGCTAATGTATCAAAAGCTCGGGACGTGGCGTCTGGTGTTCCACGGTTAGCATCCCCATTGTTGTGTGATGGTGACGTTGTTTGTGTGTTGGACAAATCCTCCAGAGTGATCTCCTCTTTGCCCATTGTTGCTAATGTCGTAACGACACTGGCAAGTGTTGAAAGATCTGGTAAAAGAGTCCAAGAAGAAACAACTAAACACAAGCTTTAATGGGACATCCAATAGGATGCTGAATCTCTTGTCATTTGAAAATCCACATCATCTAACATGGATATAAGCACTGCTCAAACAAGTGGTTAGAGTTTTAAAATCTGCTAGTTCAGTGATATCCCTGGGAGAACAAAAAAAAAAATTAAACTTAGTAAAGTCTGATTAAGTGCTAATGATGTTTATGTTGATATTTTGTGTATGGCTGACAAATGTAAGATGCTCTGGTGAGTACAATACAGGCCGCCTGATTATTTTGTAAAAGAGTAAGGCCTCAGACACAGGAGGAGTTGAACAAAGAGCTCCCTACACGATGAGTTCCAGGGCCCCTGTGTGTGTGTGTGTCTGCACAAGATGTGTGTGTGTGTGTGTGTGTGTGTGTGTGTGTGTGAGAGAGACAGAGAAGTAGTGAGAACAGACCCATGTCTCCTAATAAGCGTGCCATAAAAGGAGATAAATTATGAATTTTTTTAAACTGGATGCGTTAGACTGAAAGGAGCAGATATCATATCGAAGATGTAAACCACAACTGCTCCTTTAAAGACAAGTAAGTGCAAAAGAAGAATGAAGGGTGAAAAAAACATTTCAAATAAAAACAAAAATATACACAAGATTAGAAAATTCACATCTCACGAGATCACATCTCTACATGCCACTTGGGCTCTACATGTGCAACACTTGGGCTCTACATGGGCAACACTTGGGCTCTACATGGGCAACACTTGGGCTCTACATGGGCAACACTTGGGCTCTACATGTGCAACACTTGGGCTCTACATGGGCAACATTTGGGCTCTACATGTGCAACACTTGGGCTCTACATGGGCAACACTTAGGCTCTACATGTGCAACACTTGGGCTCTACATGGGGAACACTTGGGCTCTACAGGCGCAACACTTGTGCTCTACATGCCACATGTGCACCACTTGGGCTCTACATGTGCAACACTTGGGCTCTACATGTGCAACACTTGCGCTCTACATGGGCAACACTTGGGCCCTACATGGGCAACACTTGGGCTCTACATGTGCAACACTTGAGCTCTACATGTGCAACACTTGGGCTTTACATGGGCCACTTGGGCTCTACATGTGCAACACTTGGGCTCTACATGGGCAACACTTGGGTTCTACATGTGCAACACTTGGGCTCTACATGGGCAAAACTTGAGCTCTACATGTGCAACACTTGAGCTCTACATGCCACATGTGCAACACTTGAGCTCTACATGCCACATGTGCAACACTTGAGCTCTACATGCCACATGTGCAACACTTGGGCTCTACTGCCACATGTGCAACACTTGAGCTCTACATGCCACATGGCAACACTTGGGCTCTACATGCCACATGTGCAACACTTGGGCTCTACATGCCACATGTGCAACACTTGGGCTCTACATGCCACATGTGCAACACTTGAGCTCTACATGCCACATGTGCAACACTTGAGCTCTACATGCCACATGTGCAACACTTGAGCTCTACATGCCACATGTGCAACACTTGGGCTCTACATGCCACATGTGCAACACTTGAGCTCTACATGGGCAACACTTGAGCTCTACATGTGCAACACTTGGGCTCTACATGTGCAATACTTGGGCTCTACATGGGCAACACTTGAGCTCTACATGTGCAACACTTGGGCTCTACATGGGCAATACTTGGGCTCTACATGTGCAAACACTTGGGCTCTACATGTGCAACACTTGGGCTCTACATGTGCAACACTTGAGCTCTACATGTGCAACACTTGGGCTCTACATGCCACATGTGCAACACTTGGGCTCTACATGTGCAACACTTGGGCTCTACATGCCTCATGTGCAACACTTGGGCTCTACATGCCACATGTGCAACACTTGGGCTCTACATGGGCAACACTTGGGCTCTACATGTGCAACACTTGGGCTCTACATGCCACATGTGCACCACTTGGGCTCTACATGTGCAACACTTGGGCTCTACATGGGCAACACTTGGGCTCTACATGTGCAACACTTGGGCTCTACATGTGCAACACTTAGACTCTACATGTGCAACACTTGGGCTCTACATGTGCAACACTTGGGCTCTACACAGGCAACACTTGGGCTCTACATGTGCAACACTTGGGCTCTACATGTGCAACACTTGGGCTCTACACAGGCAACACTTGGGCTCTACATGTGCAACACTTGGGCTCTACACGGGCAACACTTGGGCTCTACACGAGCAACACTTGGGCTCTACACGTGCAACACTTGGGCTCTACATGTGCAACATTTGGGCTCTACATGCTGCCCAGCTCCGTGCTATGGGCAGAAGGACCTTTATAACTGGCTTTAGTTTGATTCACTGTGGTCTGTGATTCCTACGCCCCCCCCCCCCCCTCCCCTTTCAGCATAAAATAACACTATCATCTGCAAAGATGGAGTGATACTAAAACTCTCTCACTACCCTTCCTGTCTCTATAGACACATGCACAAACATAATGTCACACCACGCCAAAGTCAACAAAGCGTTAAATCCTTGCTCTGATATAACTGTGTTTGAAGACGGAATATTAAAAACTGTGTAGCTGTGTGAAAAGTTAGACTTCATTTTGACATATCTAGGACAGGAATTCACCGATCCTATGGCATACTGTTGAGTGACAAATAACGCCCCTAAAATTCTCTTTTGTGAAAATCACAAAAACTGCACTTATGTAACTTTGGCAAAGTGCCCTCAATATGCAGTGAAACATTAGATTAAATTACTGACAATGCATGTTAGTCTTTTGCAGAATGTTGGTCATATAGCTATGCATAAACCCAGTGTTGAAATACAACAGAAGCAGACGTAGACCAAACTCAACCAAATTAATGACGTCATCTGAAGAAAAATCTACGCAATCACAAAGCCTAGGTATATTCAATGGAACACCAATGTCTACCAGAAGACAAAATATATGGTTGTGTGACATAAATAAATGGTTGTGTGCATTAAATATATGTTTGTGTTAATTAAATATAGGGTTGCATGAATTAAATTTATCAATGTGTGAATTAAAACATATCTTTGTGTGAATTAAATATGTTATTGTGTAAATTAAATATACTGTTGTATGAATTAAATCATTATGTGCAGTTTATTTCTATTTCAAATAAGAGACATAAAACAAGAAAAACAAGCAAGATGCAGGCTCCATTATAATGTCATGCACACACACACACAACTGAAACTCTTCCCATATGACTTAACATCATGTGTTAATGTAAATGTATGAAATGTTTAGAAAAAGTGTGACTGTCACTGTATAAAACGTGTAGAAGAACAGCTTGCGTTACTGTCACTGTATAAAACGTGTAGAAGAACAGCTTGCGTTACTGTCACTGTATAAAACGTGTAGAAGAACAGCTTGCGTTACTGTCATTTTATGAAATGTTTACAACAAGCGCTATTTTCAGTGTATGAAATGTCTAGAAAAGTTTGTGTTACTTTCACTGCACAAAATGTTTTTCACATCATGTGTTACTTTCACTGTGTATTACTATTATACTATTTATTATATCCTCAACTCTCTCAATGCCTTTACACAGGAGACATTTCTTCAGTTACTTTAACCCATTCTATCTCAGGACAAGTGTAGATCAACACAAGTTTGTGTCAATGTTTATAACCAGCTCAACTCAACTACAAGCATCTGCAGAGGGACTTTGGCAGTACAGCTTACTTTACTGTTCAGATATCAACAATGAAATAATATATCAGAAACAACCTTCACAGCCCCTGTGTTGTTATTATAAATATGTATGAGTATGAACGAGTATGCCTTCTGCTTCTAAGTCTTCTCAGGCTGTAAACTCTGGGAGAAAGTTCTAGTTGTTCATCCACTTGTGGACTTTGGTCTTGTTGCAGAACTTGAGTTTTTCATTCAAATCCATTAGACAGATCTGGCTTATTTGTATGCACTTTTATGATATGCTTGTTAGGGTGGCTGTGGGTCTATTCTTTGTCTCCCCACAATGAGCCTCTGAACCCCCCCCCCTCCCTAAGGAAATATGAGTATCAGCCTGAGCATGTATGAGTATTACAAGTATGAGCTACTTCACTAACAGGATATAAATACTATGAAATGACGCACAAGAAACAATCTCCGCTCCCGTGTGCTGTCACAATATCACAAAGATTAAACTAAACATCAAACACACAAGGCCACTCTATCACTACTTCATGTCCATTTCTGACAACTATGGTCATTCATCTTCCAGCCATCTGTATTCACCAAAGAGTATGCCTTGCACTATAAGACTAGGTCTGGCAAATGATTAAATTGACTCAATTCACTTGACTATTGCTAGTGGCCTGTGACCATGTGAAGGAATCAATGCCCTTCCTCACAGACGATGACATGTAAAGATGGAAAGAGATTTGATGTTTACCTTCTGTGTTTACTGTACATACAACATCTGCCAGGGTGGTCAGATCTGATAAGATAAAGTTGTGAAACAAAATCCAAGCAAATATATCAAAGAAACCAACCAACATACACATATATATGCACATACAGGGTGTTTCAGACAAGGAAACCAACACTTTAGATTGGTACAACTGCAGCGAAAGACACTGAAAACAGCTTGCTTCAAAAAAAAAGACAAAAGGGTCAAATCTGTTATTTTAGTTTCTCAATGGCTATTTTCTTAATACAAGGAATACTTCCTACAAGAAAGTTTAATTTGGCCAATAAAAATATAAACTGACCCTCTGTGTTAATTTGCATGTGCTGTCTAATAGCTGACATAAATAAGGTATTGTGTACATTATGCAGCCATTGTTACCTATTCTTTGATCTATCATCTGGTGCACACCCTGAAAGACTACCTATCATCTGGTGCACACCCTGAAAGACTACCTATCATCTGGTGCACACCCTGAAAGACTACCTATCATCTGGTGCACACCGTGAAAGACTACCTATTATCCGGTGCACACCCTGAAAGTTTACCTATCATCTGGTGCATACCCTGAAAGTTTACTTATCATCTGGTGCACACCCTGAAAGTTTACCTATCATCTGGTGCACACCCTGAAAGTTTACCTATCATATGGTGCACACTCTGAAAATTCACCTATTATTTGGTGCACACTGAAACCTTTCCTATCTGGTGCGCCCTCTGAAAGTTTACCTATCTGATGGTGTTTACTTTGTAATTATAATTGTCCTACTGTGAGCACTTTGAAAGTTTACCTATCATATGGGTGAAATTATTATTATCCTACTGTAAGCACTCTGAAAGGTTACCTATCATATGGGTGAAATTATAATGATTCTACTGTGAGCACTCTGAAAGTTTACCTATCATATGGGTGAAATTATTATTATCCTACTGTAAGCACTCTGAAAGGTCACCTATCATATGGGTGAAATTATTATTATTCTACTGTGAGCACTCTGAAAGTTTACTTATCATATGGGTAAAATTATAACTATCCTACTGTGAGCTTTCCGAAAATGGAGCTTTCATGTGGTGCACACTTTGAAAGTGTAATTATTATCTTTGTAAGCAAATGAAAGTTTACCTACCATAAGGTACACACTCTGAAAGTTTACCTCTATAGTGACCACTCGGAAAGTTTACCTAACATATTGTGCAAACACTGTGATGTTTACCTATCATACAGTGCATGCTCTGAAAGTTTATCTACATGGTGTGCACACTGAAAGTTTACCTATATGATGCATACTCTGAAGCTTACCCTTACTAAGAAAGTTATCTATCATAAGGTGCACATTCTAAAAAGTTAATTTATTCACTATTTAGTGCTTGTTATTATTTACCTATCATTTGGCACAAAGTAACAGTTTACCTAAACTTGTGTGCACTTTGAAACTGTATGTATCACTTGGTGCGCATTTATAAACCGCTCTTATAATTTAATAATGATGTTGAAAATGCATCCATCATTTGGTGCACACTGAAGGTTTTATCCTACTGTTTGATACTGAGTTTACCTATTAGCTAGTGCAAACTCTTTAAGTATAGTTAAATGTTTCAGCACCAAGAAATGCAACATAGTCTCTTCCTGCTGAAACCCAACTGTCAAGCAGTGTATTTTATTACTATACATTTAGTCATAGTCTACTAAAGACAACTTGTGTGTCCATTTTGACTATTTTTTAAAGGGTTGCACTTTGTGATTTCTATTTCTTGTTTTGGGTAATAGTTATTTTGCCTTTTTGGCATCTGCAGAACAAATATTTCTATAGTTCAAGGCAAACCAAATATTTTTAAAGTCTGATGCAAATAAAACATTTAAAACTTTCCCATCTGAAGACCTTACAGGTATGGATCTTCTTGTTATGAAACACCCTGCCTACACCAAACCTGCTACCAATGGACACAGTGAACATTCTTTAAGAGAACAAGAAGGAATGAACAACAAGATCCCGAAAGGGGAAACAATCAAGAAGAGCTGAAGCTCTAAACATTTCCACTAGATGTGGCATGTAGTTTGACATGCGCAGATTTGTTATTGACTGCAGATTTAGAAACATAAATAGTTTTTATTTTGTATTTTTTAAAAGTCAATTGCATGTCTCTTGAGGATGCTGTAACTAACCTCAGATTTTACTGGCTATTGAAAAGTCTAGCTCCAGTAGATAGCCATTGGTTTCTGAATGATTGGGTCACACTGTTGTCTTCCTCTTCATTATTTTCATAAGCTGTAAACTCTGCCAGAAAGTTCTTGTTATGTGACCACTTCTAAACTTTGGTCTTGTTTCAGAACTTGAGTTTTGTGTGCACATCCATTTTACAGATCTGACTTATTTGTATGTAGACTGTTGGTTTCTTTCCTTTAAAACAGATGCGCTCTAACTTTGAAGGAAGCCTCTAATTTCATGACTGAAGAACTTATAATAATTTATAAATATCAGAATTGAAAAAAAAAAAGATTTCGTTCTAAATATGAGGGTTTTTGTGAATGATATCAAGGACCCCTTAATTTTATTCCATAGCTGCTCTAAACCACAACAACAAAAAGAAAACAATGACGAAGGTTAGTTATTATTTACTAGATAACTTTGCATAAATGCAGATTCTCTGTTCCATTCCTGATAATCTACTGTCTGTACACTTTTAATTTTGCAAACAACTTCTGAAACTGCAGTACACATATATCGCTTTTTCTGAACTTCTTGTTCACAGTGAAAGGTTCATGTTCCATGGTGAGCAGGTCTGGTCACACACTCAACAAACCAAAATACAACAAAACTATAACAAAATGAACTCAAATGAAAGCACCATCACAAATCCAGAAAATGTTTCTTTTTCACCAACAAACAGCTACGCTTTTTTCACACTGATGCTGCCTACTTACATGTAAGCAACAATTGACAGCAAGCTAAAACTTGACCAAAAAATATCCTCATGGGACATCAAAGCTTTACAAGCTAAAACTTACTTCTTGTGAAATAATTTAATAAGTGCAGAGAAAAGACTCAGAAGTTCTGTATCTGACCCATTTCATGAGCAAGGGACATTTGTCTTCCATAAAATTCCTTAAAATCTGTGTGTATGTGTGTGTGTGTTTGTATGTGTTTTTTTCTTTCTTTGTGTAATGATTTTATTATATATTTAAGAAATACCTCAAAGAGATCTTTTAACTACAGGTATAGCCCAATGTGCCCTAATGTGGCATGCTATGAAAAGAGCCCTTTAAATTCCTAACACTGTATTGCTTCACAAATTCTTCTGACCCAATAAGGACCAAACATTTATACTCAAAAGTCTACAATTTTCATTAAATTTTATTTTATATTGTAATGAGCGTTAGATGCATTGGCACTGAAAGCACATGGGGCTGGAGAGCTGGCCAGGGATAGGGATACTTTCAGGCCTGCCCTGGGGAGAGCGACGTTCTGTAAAAGACATGCTGTTTGATGATGATGTTGATGAGTGAATGTAAGTTCCTGATTGTAAGAAATGTATCAGCCGACAGAAAACCTGAATGATCACGGGTGTGAGAGATGGAAACACACCAGGGGAGATAGAGAAGCTAATGATGGTACAAGACATGGAGGTATGAACTAGTTTATGACCGAGACCTTAGGTTCGTTCTCCGAGTGGACAGATCCTACGAATGGTAAAGATTGGGAATACACAGTAAACTAAACACCAAGAAAGTCCTAGGTGTATCTGGATGTGAATATGCCAAGATGTTAGGAATCTGGTTTAGAGGACAAGAAGTTACAAGGATATGATTCAGGGATGCAACTTATGGGCAATTTAGGATGCAGTCTAAAAAAAAAGGTAAGAAGATTATAAGAAGATGGTCTAGAAAACTAGAGGGATATACTAGGAGGATGTGATCTAGAAAACATGTGATCTAGGAAGATATGGTCTAGTAGGATAATATGGTCTAGTGGAATAATGTTGTCTAGTGGAATAATGTGATCTAGTGGAATAATGTTGTCTAGTGGAATAATGTGGTCTAGTGGAATAATGTGATCTAGTGGGATAATGTGGTCTAGTGGGATAATGTGATCTAGTGGGAGATAGAGAAGCTAATGATGTCTAGTGGGGATAATGTGGTCTAGTGGGATAATGTGATCTAGTGGGATAACGTGGTCTAGTGGGATAATGTGATCTAGTGGGATAACGTGGTCTAGTGGGATAATGTGATCTAGTGGGATAATGTGATCTAGTGGGATAATGTGATCTAGTGGGATAATGTGATCTAGTGGGATAACGTGGTCTAGTGGGATAATGTGATCTAGTGGGATAACGTGGTCTAGTGGGATAACGTGGTCTAGTGGGATAATGTGATCTAGTGGGATAATGTGATCTAGTGGGATAACGTGGTCTAGTGGGATAACGTGGTCTAGTGGGATAATGTGATCTAGTGGCATAAGCTGGTCGAGTAGGATAATGTGGTCCAGTGGCATAAGGTGATCTAGTCACATAAGGTGATCTAGTGGGATAATGTGATCTAGTCACATAAGGTGATCTAGTGGGATAATGTGGTCTAGTCACATAAGGTGATCTAGTGGGATAATGTGGTCTAGTGGGATAATGTGATCTAGTGGCATAAGGTGATCTGGTGGGATTATGTGGTCTAGTGGGATAATGTGGTCTAGTGGGATAATGTGATCTAGTGGCATAAGGTAATCTGGTGGGATAATATGGTCTAGTGGGATAATGTGGTCTAGTGGCATAAGGTGGTCTGGTGGCATAATGTGGTCTAGTGGCATAAGGTGATCTAGTGGCATAAGGTGGTCTAGTGAGATAATGTGATCTAGTGGGATAATGTGGTCCAGTGGGATAATGTGGTTTAGTAGGATAATGTTGTCTAGGCGGATGTATTACTAGAATAATGTGGTTTAGGAGATGTGTTCTAGTGGGATAATGTGGCCTAGGTAGAAAATGGATCTATTTATGTGATCTAGAATGTGTTAAGGATGTCTAAGGGACAAAAGAGTGTCAGTCTACACAGAAACAACATGAGACAAAAGACACAGAAAAAATAAAACAGGAAAAGAAGAGAGAGAGAGAGAGAGAGAGAGAGAGAGAGAGAGAGAGAGAGAGAGAGAGAGAGAGAGAGAGAGAGAGAGAGAGAACGAACAAACTTTATTCTCAAAGGGTTACAAATTGGGCACGCAGGCCAGTATTACATTTTGCCTTTCCAATCACCCATTTTTTGCAAAGCAGATGTATTTTACTAATAAAGCATGATATAATCATATGATGACATGCATGTTATGAATATCACGAAAGAACACAAAAGCATGAGTTGTGAAATGCAGAGAGAGAGAGAGAGAGAGAGAGAGAGAGAGAGAGAGAGAGAGAGAGAGAGATATTAATATCAACAAAAAAAGGTAACAACAATACTGTCAGTCTTATCTATAAGAATTGTTGTTACAATAATAAGAAACAAAATGCCACATACTAATTGTAATATGATCTGGTAAGTGAAGAATGTCCTCTGACAAGTTGGCAACATCATGGAATGACAAATAGAACATGGCATTCACATTATGGCATTTGTTGATCAAAACACACAAGTAAGCGGTCAAACATGTCATGGAGTTTCCTGGTCAACTCAAATCACACTGAAATCAAACAAAAGTCTAGTTTCTGGGGAATTATCTTTCTCTTATTTGCGTGCCTGCTCAAAAACTTGTTTTTATTTACTGAGTGTACAAAAAAAAAGGTCTTTCCATTTATCAGGTGTTTCCACCCCCCCCTCCCCCATTTATTTTTGAAACATTTCATATTTTGATTTTGTTATAAATGAATTGCCCAGGAAATTTCTATACATATGTAATAAACAAAACACTTAAATGTTATATTTTTAAACATGTAATATTTTAAAATTAGAACAACATCCATGTAAACCACATTTAAACACACTAACAAAGCTTAAATAAGGCCAAATATACAAAATAATGTGCACTACAAAACTTGTGACTGCAAAAAAAAAGAAAAGCAAAAAGCCAAGCTGCGTGTTCATGTGTCAACAAAACAAAAACTAACATAATTTTGTGTGTTGGTGGTAAAACAATAAAGAACAAAATCAGCAGAAAGGCAAAATCAGTGGGCAGTTAATGAACAAAAAACTTTTTAGTAATTAATCAAAGCCAATTAGTTTCTTTATAAACTGAAAGCAGTTTTTAAAAACAGCTGGGGGATAAATATTTCAAAAATAGCACCCATCTACTACTAAAGAAAGTATGCAGTTCAGTTAAATCATGCTAACTATTTTTTTTCCCTCGTACACCAAACATTTATAGAAACGTGTGGCTAAAAGTTAGGTGTAAATATAGTAAAACTGACAGATGCAAGACAATGTGAATATGTGTAACAGAAATATATGAGAGTATTCTCCCTTTAGAGGTTTCGATTTGACCCATATGTACATATTTTCTGTCATTTTGTGAATCACTTAACAGCTCTTCTAATGTTCTAAATAGCAGATAAAGACATACGTCAAATCAAAACTTCTACTTACTAACACTATTAAATAACTATATTTATTAATTTCAATAGTAATTACAATAAAACCTCTGAACTGCAACACTAGTAAACTCAAATGAATAATCTTTTCACTTCACTTAAACTATGTTGGATATAACTTGTTTGCCATGATAAAATAACGACACAATGCTCTAATGAAATCATATCAATATGGGGAGTAAGCTTACCTTCTGCATTCGTGACTGTGCTGACAACATTGGCCAATGTGCTCAGGTCTACAACAGAAATTATATCGGGTTTAAAAAAAATATTGCAATACAAACAAGTTTCTTTTTTCTTTAAACAGAAATAAATAAAACACTTCAACTCAAATTGTCAATTAAAAAAAAAAATTTCATTTAGAATGTCATCATAAACTAAGCTGTTTCTCAATGTTTCATCAAAGCTTACCACCTTTCTAGAAGATGGTGTTCCACTGTGTTAGAGGCAGGCATGGAAATCACAGCACAAGGCATGACCAACTGAGGCCAGCGATAAACTTCACACAGCATGATCCCTCTCTCAGCCTGCTATTAGAGACAAGGTCTGTCCTGCCATAACATTCAATTGTCAGGTTGCATTTCCCTGTCCGAGGCAAAGGCTAGTATCCTCATCTATTCTCTTCTCTGCAAACACGTGGCCAGGGATAGAACAGCAGGTTCACTAACTCTTACCTTTGACAGCCCCCCCAATTCTTCTGACAAGGCAACAGGTTGCGGTGTCCCTTTTTCTTGCCACTAACACTTGACCTTGCCTACTTATGTCTCAGGATGAGATTGCTTGTTTGTGTTCACCAGTTGTAAATTCTGATGAAAAGTCCTGGTTGTTCATCCATTTCTGGACTTTGACTTTGTTCCAAGATTTGATGTACATCTGTTTTACAGACCTGTGCAGTCTGTTGTGTCCTTTTCTATCAAGCAGATGTGATCCAACTTTGAAGGAAAGTATAGGAAACAAAATCTAATTGAAGGACCTTTCACTCCAGGGGTGCATCGGGCATAGGGTGCATCGGGCATAGGGTGCATCGGGCATATGAAGTTAGACTCAAATCTGTTCAGAGCAGCCGGCATTCAGTGGGTGGTGTGATCAACACAGTGGGTGGTGTGATCAACACAGTAAGTGGTGTGATCAACACAGTGGGTGGTGTGATCAACACAGTAAGTGGTGTGATCAACACAGTAAGTGGTGTGATCAACACAGTGGGTGGTGTGATCAACACAGTGGGCGGTGTGATCAACACAGTGGGCGGTGTGATCAACACAGTGGGCGGTGTGATCAACACAGTGGGCGGTGTGATCAACACAGTGGGCGGTGTGATCAACACAGTAAGCGGTGTGATCAACACAGTGGGCGGTGTGATCAACACAGTGGGCGGTGTGATCAACACAGTGGGCGGTGTGATCAACACAGTGGGCGGTGTGATCAACACAGTGGGCGGTGTGATCAACACAGTGAGAGGTGTGATCAACACAGTGAGTGTGATCAACACAGTGAGAGGGTGATCAACACGGTGTGATCAACACAGTGGGTGGTGTGATCAACACAGTGGGTGGTCTGATCAACACAGTGGGTGGTGTGATCAACACAGTGGGTGGTGTGATCAACACAGTGGGTGGTGTGATCAACACAGTGGGTGGTGTGATCAACACAGTGGGTGGTGGTGATCAACACAGTGGGTGGTGTGATCAACACAGTGGGTGGTGTGATCAACACAGTGGGTGGTGTGATCAACACAGTGGGCGGTGTGATCAACACAGTGGGTGGTGTGATCAACACAGTGTTGGTGTGATCAACACAGTGGGCGGTGTGATCAACACAGTGGGTGGTGTGATCAACACAGTGGGTGGTGGTGATCAACACAGTGGGTGGTGTGATCAACACAGTGGGTGGTGTGATCAACACAGTGGGTGGTGTGATCAACACAGTGGGTGGTGGTGATCAACACAGTGGGTGGTGTGATCAACACAGTGGGTGGTGTGATCAACACAGTGGGTGGTGTGATCAACACAGTGGGTGGTGTGATCAACACAGTGGGTGGTGTGATCAACACAGTGGGTGATGGTGATCAACACAGTGGGTGGTGTGATCAACACAGTGGGCGGTGTGATCAACACAGTGGGTGGTGTGATCAACACAGTGGGTGGTGTGATCAACACAGTGGGTGGTGTGATCAACACAGTGGGTGGTGTGATCAACACAGTGGGTGGTGGTGATCAACACAGTGGGTGGTGTGATCAACACAGTGGGTGGTGTGATCAACACAGTGGGTGTGATCAACACAGTGGGTGGTGTGATCAACACAGTGGGTGGTGTGATCAACACAGTGGGTGGTGTGATCAACACAGTGGGTGGTGTGATCAACACAGTGGGCGGTGTGATCAACACAGTGGGTGATCTGATCAACACAGTGGGTGGTCTGATCAACACAGTGGGTGGTCTGATCAACACAGTGGGTTGTGTGATCAACACAGTGGGTGGTGTGATCAACACAGTGGGTGATGGTGATCAACACAGTGGGTGATGGTGATCAACACAGTGGGTGATGGTGATCAACACAGTGGGTGGTGTGATCAACACAGTGGGTGGTGTGATCAACACAGTGGGTGGTGTGATCAACACAGTGGGTGGTGGTAATCAACACAGTGGGTGGTGTGATCAACACAGTGGGTTATGTGATCAACACAGTGGGTTGTGTGATCAACACAGTGGGTGGTGGTGATCAACACAGTGGGTGGTGTGATCAACACAGTGGGCGGTGTGATCAACACAGTGGGTGGTGGTAATCAACACAGTGGGTGGTGTGATCAACACAGTGGGCGGTGTGATCAACACAGTGGGTGGTGGTAATCAACACAGTGGGTGGTGTGATCAACACAGTGGGTTGTGTGATCAACACAGTGGGTGATGGTGATCAACACAGTGGGTGGTGTGATCAACACAGTTGGTGGTGTGATCAACACAGTGGGTGGTGTGATCAACACAGTGGGTGGTGTGATTAACACAGTGGGTGGTGTGATTAACACAGTGGGTGGTGTGATCAACACAGTGGGCGGTGTGATCAACACAGTGGGTGGTGGTAATCAACACAGTGGGTGGTGTGATCAACACAGTGGGCGGTGTGATCAACACAGTGGGTGGTCTGATCAACTTCCTGTTGGCCACTTTAACTTTCCATGACATTACCTGGTACCCATTTTAGACTAGGTCGACCTAAGAAACAAGGTCATAGTAGGACAAATCTGCAGAAAGGAAATAACACACTGAAAGTCATGATTTTGCTTTGCCTGTATGCAGATGGGACGCCATTCTAATGCTGTGACTAGGTACTTGCAAACAGAAAGGTACTGGGTTTAAATTCACAAACAGGTACATTTGAACCCAGGTTTCTAGGTTCAAGCAGCCTAAAATAAGTGCTGGAAAATGTCTGTGAAAGTAAAGGTGGCTGGCATGATGTAAATCACATGACCATCGAGTGCCGAATGGTTTATAAAAATCTGGATCCAATACCACATGCCCTATGGAATGAAAAGGATAATTTACTTGTTACTATGCACAGGTGAATGAACTGAGGAAATACTAGTCAGACTTCCCCAGCAAATGTAAACTGAGCAGATAAACAGCAAGCAAAAAAAAAAAAAAAAAAGGGAGTGGTAGAATCGACTTCCAGTGACTAGGTTTTATCCCATTTGGTGAGGTTTTTATCACATCTCCCTAGACCACATCTTTCATTATATCCCACGAGACTACATCCTTCATCCTATCTTTCATTATATCCCACGAGGCTACATCCTTCATCACATCTTTCATTATATCCCACGAGACTACATCCTTTATCACATCTTTCATTATATCCCACGAGACTACATCCTTCATCACATCTTTCATTATATCCCACGAGACTACATCCTTCATCACATCTTTCATTATATCCCACATCTTTCATTATATCCCACGAGACTACATCCTTCATCACATCTTTCATTATATCCCACGAGACTACATCCTTCATCACATCTTTCATTATATCCCACTAGACTACATCCTTCATCACATCTTTCATTATATCCCACTAGACTACATCCTTCATCACATCTTTCATTATATCCCACTAGACTACATCCTTCATCACATCTTTCATTATATCCCACTAGACTACATCCTTCATCACATCTTTCATTATATCCCACTAGACTACATCCTTCATCACATCTTTCATTATATCCCACTAGACTACATCCTTCATCACATCTTTCATTATATCCCACTAGACTACATCCTTCATCACATCTTTCATTATATCCCACTAGACTACATCCTTCATCACATCTTTCATTATATCCCACTAGACTACATCCTTCATCACATCTTTCATTATATCCCACTAGACTACATCCTTCATCACATCTCCTTAGACCACATCTTTCATTATATCCCACCTGACTACATCCTTCACCACATCTTCCTAGACCACATCATTCTTTATATCCCACTAGACTACATCCTTCATCACATCTGTCATTATATCCCACTAGACTACATCCTTCATCACATCTGTCATTATATCCCACTAGACTACATCCCACTAGACCACATCTTTCATTATATCCCACTAGACTACATCCTTCATCACATCTCCTTAGATCACATTTGTCATTATATCCCACTAGACTACATCCTTCATCACATCTGTCATTATATCCCACTAGACTACATCCCACTAGACCACATCTTTCATTATATCCCACTAGACTACATCCTTCATCACATCTCCTTAGATCACATTTGTCATTATATCCCACTAGACTACATCCTTCATCACATCTGTCATTATATCCCACTAGACTACATCCCACTAGACCACATCTTTCATTATATCCCACTAGATTACATCCCACTAGACCACATCTTTCATTATATCCCACTAGACTACATCCCACTAGACCACATCTTTCATTATATCCCACTAGACCACATCTTTCATTATATCCCACTAGATTACATCCCACTAGACCACATCTTTCATTATATCCCACTAGACCACATTTTTCATTTTATCCCACTAGACCACATCTTTCATTATATCCCACTAGACTACATCTTTCATTATATCCCACTAGACTTCATCCCACTAAACCACATCTTTCATTATATCCCACTAGACTACATCTTTCATTATATCCCACTAGACCACATCTTTCATTATATACCACTAGACTACATTCCACTAGACCACATCTTTCATTATATCTCACTAGACTACATCCCACTAGACCACATCTTTCATTATATCCCACTAGACTACATCCCACTAGACCACATCTTTCATTATATCCCACTAGACTACATCCCACTAGACCACATCTTTCATTATATCCCACTAGACTATATCCCACTAGACCACATCTGTCATTATATCCCACTAGACTACATCCTTCATTACATCTTCCTAGACCACATCCTTCATTATATCCGACTAGACCACATCCTTCATTATATCCCACTAGACTACATCCTTCATCACATCTTTCATTATATCCCACTAGACTACATCCTTCATCACATCTTTCATTATATCCCACTAGACTACATCCTTCATCACATCTTTCATTATATCCCACTAGACTACATCCTTCATCACATCTTTCATTATATCCCACTAGACTACATCCTTCATCACATCTCCTTAGACCACATCTTTCATTATATCCCACCTGACTACATCCTTCACCACATCTTCCTAGACCACATCATTCTTTATATCCCACTAGACTACATCCTTCATCACATCTGTCATTATATCCCACTAGACTACATCCTTCATCACATCTGTCATTATATCCCACTAGACTACATCCCACTAGACCACATCTTTCATTATATCCCACTAGACTACATCCTTCATCACATCTCCTTAGATCACATTTGTCATTATATCCCACTAGACTACATCCTTCATCACATCTTTCATTATATCCCACTAGACTACATCCCACTAGACCACATCTTTCATTATATCCCACTAGACTACATCCTTCATCACATCTTCCTAGATCACATCTTTCATTATATCCCACTAGACTACATCCTTCATCACATCTGTCATTATATCCCACTAGACTACATCCTTCATCACATCTACCTAGACCACATCTTTCATTATATCCCACTAGACTACATCCCACTAGACCACATCTTTCATTATATCCCACTAGACTACATCCTTCATCACATCTCACTAGACCACATCTTTCATTATATCCCACTAGACCACATCTTTCATTATATCCCACTAGACCACATCTTTCATTATATCCCACTAGACCACATCTTTCATTATATCCCACTAGACCACATCTTTCATTATATCCCACTAGACTACATCTTTCATTATATCCCACTAGACTACATCTTTCATTATATCCCACTAGACTACATCTTTCATTATATCCCACTAGACTACATCTTTCATTATATCCCACTAGACCACATCTTTCATTATATACCACTAGACTACATTCCACTAGACCACATCTTTCATTATATCTCACTAGACTACATCCCACTAGACCACATCTTTCATTATATCCCACTAGACTACATCCCACTAGACCACATCTTTCATTATATCCCACTAGACTACATCCCACTAGACCACATCTTTCATTATATCCCACTAGACTATATCCCACTAGACCACATCTGTCATTATATCCCACTAGACTACATCCTTCATTACATCTTCCTAGACCACATCCTTCATTATATCCGACTAGACCACATCCTTCATTATATCCCACTAGACTAAGTCCTTCATTATATCCCACTAGACCACATCCTTCATTATATCCCACTAGACTACATCATTCATTATATCCCACTAGACCACATCCTTCATTATATCCCACTAGACTACATCCTTCATCACATCTGTCATTATATCCCACTAGACTACATCCTTCATCACATCTTTCATTATATCCCACTAGACTACATCCTTCATCACATGTCATTATATCCCACTAGACTACATCCTTCATCACATCTGTCATTATATCCCACTAGACTACATCCTTCATCACATCTTTCATTATATCCCACTAGACTACATCCTTCATCACATGTCATTATATCCCACTAGACTACATCCTTCATCACATCTTCCTAGATCACATCTTTTATTATATCCCACTAGACTACATCCTTCATCACATCTGTCATTATATCCCACTAGACAACATCCTTCATCACATCTGTCATTATATCCCACTAGACTACATCCTTCATTACATCTTCCTAGACCACATCATTCATTATATCCCACTAGACTACATCCTTCATTACATCTTCCTAGACCACATCATTCATTATATCCCACTAGACTACATCCTTCATCACATCTGTCATTATATCCCACTAGACTATATCCTTCACCACATCTTCCTAGACCACATCATTCATTATATCCCACTAGACTACATCCTTCATCACATCTTCCTAGACCACATCATTCATTATATCCCACTAGACTACATCCTTCACCACATCTTCCTAGACCGCATCATTCATTATATCCCACTAGACTACATCCTTCATCACATCTTCTTAGACCACATCTTTCATTATATCCCACTAGACCACATCTTTCATTATATCCCACTAGACTACATCAGAACCCTAATCTGTATTCCTAGACCATAACACATAACCCTGTAATCTCTCTTCCTCTAACCCACATCTCTCACATACACACACCTCTAAAATGAATGATAGTTTCAAACCTACAACATTTATAATGTGAGGAAAATGGCTATACCCCTTTGTCAATAAGATCGCTCATAAAATAAACTGCAAAAAAAATGGAAAATAGTCATTATAAATAGGAGAGGTGCTTTTTCTATTTCTACTATCCTTCTAAGTGTTAACAATGCCAGGAGAAAAGAATATATGTCAACCAAAAGAAAAGGAAAATTTTACCTGTGTTTACAGCAGAACCTGGCGACATTTGAGAGCTTAGAACAACCATACCGTGATCAGTTTGAACCACACGTTCTTGCAGGTTGGCTAGCAGACTCACATATTTGGCATCATCTATCCCCTAAGATAAAAACAGACCTAAGATATCATCTGGTGTATGAAATCTGTCTCCAGTCAAAAGATACTCATTGTAACCTCAGTTTTAGGTCATGTCTGACAGGCATTTGTAATCCTTCTGCCCCATAACAATCTTTAGGAAATAACCTTTTATTTTTCAAATTAAAATTTTTTTTTTTAAAGCAGACTTATAATCGCCTGAAACTCTACCGTATAAAACTAGAAGAAGAAAAGAAGCAAAAGAAATGTGGAGTCTTGGTCATTTTTCAATAAATATCTAGAGGGTTGAACCCTTAGAGGACCAAAAAACAAACAGGCAGGCATGAAGTTTTCTGCTTCTTTGATAACGTCACATCACTTTAAAAAAAATTCTTTTTCATTTGTTCATGTCTAAATAATAAAAAGGTTTCTTTTTAGATAAGGGAAGTAATCACTAAATAAAAATGAAGCAAAGGAATTCCTTCCTTTTGATCACCTAAAATGTGTTTTTTTTTTTTACTTTGTTACAGACTTAAATATGAAATAATAACAAAATTATATGACATCACAGTCAATCTGCAATTTTCAAAATGTATTTTCTTTTCCAGAGCAAGTCATTATTCGCAGCCACATGTACACTAAATTTAAGATCGGTGAATTTGCCATGTGCTCATGTGGATTGGTACCAGAGACAACAGATCACATCCTCCAAGACTTTCCCAAACACAAAATATCAAGGCAAAACTGTTGGCCAAGAGGAACACTGGTACAAGCAAAACTTTACAGGTCACTAAGTGAATTACAAAAGACAGTGAAGTTCATACTAGAAACAACATTGCAGACAGATAATCTTTTTCAAGCAAATGAAAAGAGAAGAATTTTGTTCCTTTCACCCCCAAAAATATCCATTTTCAAATTTTGTTTTAGCACAGAAGTGAGATTTCACATTACTGCAATCAGCGCTTTTCTTTCTTTCTTTCTTTTAAAAAAAAAAAAAAAAGATACTGTTACTGCGTACTGTTGCGTATCGCTAGAAAAAAGGCCATGGCTGTATTTTTAAAAAAATTCAGAAAAAGTCTCTAGCAATAAGGACAAACATGTAATAAGCTCACCTTTGGGCTGAAAGTAGGTATCGCTGCAGAAGGACTATTGAAGTCTTTTCTGATGTAAATTCTCTGTGTTGATGTAGCAACATTGCCGGGTACTTTGTCTCTCTGGTCACTAGGTCGTCTTTCTTGCTGAACAGCTGTAGAGAGAAATTGACCAGTCTGATGTCAGTTCCTGGTGTAGGTACTAGCGTCTTATTGTGGGTGAAGAAAAAGAGAAGTACCCTTTGCCCTTCTCTACCAAAACAGACATGCCATAAAAAGTGATTAATTAGGGGTCTATTGCAAATATCACCGCTTAGCTGTAAACCACAACTTGCCAAATCCCCTCTTAGGGGTAACACAGAAGAAGGTGTGCCAGGAGGGGACACTGCAGACAAAGCATACACAGTTCATCATCTAATTCTAGCAAAATAACTTCACTAACAGCCATCACTGAAGCAGAGAAGCTCACCAACCAACCCAAGCCAAACTGTGCCATCTCTTGCAACTCGCTACATATCTTCTTCATGTGATTCACATGTGCTTCTAATTCTCTTCAGCAGATATTTTTAGGGCTCCTTCTACTTCTTTTGCCTTGTGGGTTCAAGAGAAAGAACTTTCTAACTTTCTAGTTATACAATTACCAATGGGTACTCTACTCAGAACCAACGTCTGCTCCTCAACACTCGCATCACTGGATTCTTCTAGTCCTCTCTGCCAATGCAGAATAATTATTCACGCGTTAAAAGTTTCCTTCTAAACAATCCTGTTCAACCCTTGGGCGTAGAGCTTATAAAGTGTTGTATTCCCTTACAATGAAACATATTATGTTGATTTCTTCTTCTTCATCTATCTGTAGCTGATATGGGTCACTATGCTGTCCAAGAAAGAAAGTGAAAAAAAACAACAACATTTGATCTTCTTCTATATAAATGCAAGACTAGGTTAAAAACAATATACAATCACCCTATAACTAAATGAGTCAGGAAATCAACTTACATTCAGACCTCATACCAACTGTTAAACATTTCTGCAGACGGCAGTACTGACATCTGTTGCGATGCAGCTTCGTCACAGGACAATCCCTGGCTCCTCGACAGGCATAGCCCAACTGTTTCCTGATCGACCGCTTGAAGAAACCTTTGCAACCTTCACAGCTGATAGCCCCGTAATGTCGACCTGGACAGAGGAAATCAATACGGTTCACATGAATCCCTAGAACAGGTAACACTAGGTTTTCAATTAGGATCTATCAGCAATGACAATGGCCAACTCAAACCTCTTTCTCTGTAGTCCTGTTCTGCCTTTCAGTGTCAGGTTTTGATGAGGCATTGGTGCTTTTTTCACTGGATGATATTACTCTCCCTAGAGGGTCTTTATTTGCTTGAGTTTTCTATGCATATCTAGATTAGCTGTACTGTTTTTGCAGTGCTCACAATTTCTGTTCTTTCAATATTAACTGTTATGTTTTTTGCTTTTGCTTGCTGCTCTTTTGGGAACGTCCAAGACTCTGCAGTTCTTCGTCTGTAGTTTCTATGAAAACTTGGTTGTCCTTATTCAGTTTTCCTCTCATGGCTTATTTACTGAATTACTCTCATTCAAACAGAAAATCCTGAAAGGAAAACTTCTAAATAATTCACTGAAACACTGAAGCTACAACTAAATACAAAGAGAGGAGACAGGAGATAATTGCTTACCTGAAGCTCTGTCACCACACACCACACAAGGCTCATACTTCTGATCAAACTGCATCTTCTGGGTGACCCGGTCTTGAACCTGTCTCTGCTCTTCCCTCAACCGCTCCAGTCTCTGGGCATGCTGGAACTCCTGGCAATAACCAGATAACATATAAGTTAGCATTGCCCTGGCAATAACCAGATAACGTATAAGTTAGCATTGCCCTGGCAATAACCAGATAACGTATAAGTTAGCATAACCCCGGCAAGACTACACAACTCATCAAATGTTCACCGCTTCCCCAAGGGCTTTTTTTTCCCTAGACAAAAGGTATTAGTACTCACTACAGTATGTCTAAACAGTTGCCAATACTCACCATAAAGTGTCTAAACAGTTGCCAATACTCACCACAAAGTGTCTAAACAGTTGCCAATACTCACCATAAAGTGTCTAAACAGTTGCCAATACTCACCACAAAGTGTCTAAACAGTAGCATACGACCATAAAGTGTATAGTGCAGTTGCCAGGTCACCACAAAGGGGATCTATAACAGTTGCCAATACTCACCACAAAGTGTCTAAACAGTTGCCAATACTCACCATAAAGTGTCTAAACAGTTGCCAATACTCACCATAAAGTGTCTAAAATGGTGCTGGTACACACCACAAAGTGTCTAAACAGTTGTGAATACACACCACAAAGTGTCTAAACAGTTGCCAATACTCACCATTAAGTGTCAAAAATGGTGCTGGTACACACCACAAAGTATCTAAACAGTTGCCAATACTCACCATAAAGTGTCTAAAAAGGTGCTGGCACTCAGCACAAAGTTACTATTAGAGAAACACTAAAAATAGTGCTGTTGTGAACCACCAGAAAAAAGCTCTGGTTTCCCTATAAATGGTAACTCTGTATGATATGATGCAGGCAGTTGTGACTGTAGCATGCGATCATGGGGTTATCATGCACTTGCCAGGTAATGGGGGAGGGGAGAGGGGGGGGGGGAATTAATAAATATAAGTCCTCAACATACGTGCACAAGGTTCCCTAACTTTCAGAACCTTGGCCGGCCACTCTCATTGGCACGACACATGCTGATGGTGATTTTAACTGTACAAGGTGGCTGCTATGGGTGACTCATGCCCGATCACACACATACACCCATGTGATGTGCAGTGACAGTCCTCTAACGGTTCTCCTCAAAGAAAAGAAATCCCCACCCGAGGAGATGCACCACTTGGTGAAAAAAATTCAGACCTTCCATCTGCTGCCTAGTCACTCACTGAAGTGTCACTGATAAACATCCCGTTAACTAGCTTCCTCACTACTTCTTCACCACAACTTCACATTGGTCGACACACACAGAGTGACTGCAAAATCTTCTGTAGTATTGAGGATGCCCATCACCCAGCGTACTACGTTGCTGCAATTTTGCAGATCACCCACATAGATGGACCATACAGCCGTCCATTCTAGAAAATCACTGACAGAATTATGAAGTCCAACTTATAATCCACCACATTCGTCCAGACAGTTGAACCGAGCTCCACAGAATAAAACATTGTCCAAAACTGTCACACAACAATTTGCACATATGTCCACACAATTAGACCGACTAAAAGCGACTGACTGAATCAAACTACCCCGGGACTTTTCCCACCTACAGTCAAGTCCACTTGGATCTTACTTTCTTGGCAACACCTGAGGTACATAACCCACCCGCACGGATATGTCCACGAACCAGTCATAAACTTCATGTGGCACGTCTTCCCCAACTTTTAAGTGGCTCATCCTCCACTGTTTTCCAGTGGCCCCAACTGTTTACTTCACAACTGGTCAACATAACATGACTGATGGGAAGCCTTGGCTTCCTTAACTCTTTATACCCTACAGTAATTGGGCATACAACAGTGACTTTCAACAGTTCCAGTCCTAAACAATGAAGGATGTTGACTGGTTCATCAACAAGTATGGTTTTTTTTTTGGTGAACTCAAATTCCAATAAAACTAGATTTCTTTAGCAGGCTCACCTGTACGAGCTAATTATAATGAGATGAATGACAGTATTAACGAAATCAGGGAGATAAAGAGGTGGTGAATCACAGGTGGCAGTACACCAGGACAGGGTTCATAGTGACCAGGACTAGTCTTCACCTCTCTGTGGGCATCTCAGAAATAAGTTCCCAGCAGTGAGCCTGGCCAATATAGATAGGATACATGTCTTCTTCATAGTTATACTATATCTGCCTGAGAGGCAAGAAACCAACAGTCTGCAAGCAGATAAGCCAAATCTGTAAAACGTATGTGTAAGCAACTCTCAAGTCCTGAAACAAGACCAAAGTCCAGAAGTGAAAAGACTGCCAGGACCTTCCACCAGTTTACAGCCAAAGAACGTGAAGAAAAATTAAACTGAAGCTAGCAAACAAAAGCAGCAGAAGAACTTCACAACAAAGAGCAAGCAAGTGTTTGTAAGAGACCTATAATATTTATGATAACCATTAAATACAAACAAATACGGAGGATTAATTTACATACATGCATATAAATCTAAAAATTTCAACAGAAACAACCCACTCATGAACCAAAAAGAACATGTTCATGAATTTAGAAGGGAAAAAACCCCAGATGAATAACAAACAAAGGGCTCATTGAGAAAAACAGGAGCACACACAATAATTAACAAAAACTGCCAGACCTTACCTTGAGCTTCGAGGCCCAGTCAACCTGCGCCAGGGAGCCAGCTGACACCTGAACCACCTGTGTAGACAAGCTACCTCCTTCCTTCAGTCGTAAGGCCAGATCTGAAGCAGACATAGTGGACATAACCACTTGATTTCCATTTGTGATGCTCCCACCCTACGAAAATAATAAACTGTCATGACAATTCCATTTTTTACATGATAAGGCACAGACAAGATAGAAAAAAAACCACATTAAATATTGAACCAAAAAAAAATATTTAATTATATGAAATATAACCTCATACAAATAAATATGCCCAGCATTACGGCTTTTCAACTAATATTACTCTGGATTTATGGCCGAGTTGCTGACCAAAGCTTCAGCTGTACAACCAAGTTAGCTAGTTAGTTGGGTTATCATCAGTGCACTCCGGACACGTCCATAGGTGCTCAGATCCTCCCCTCAGTATGAACCCCAACGTCCGATGGCTAATAGTACCAGTTCTATGTTGATTAACAAGTTTTCTGGCGTGTCTGGTGTGCGTCTCGTTTTTTGCTATGCCGATCTTAATTCCCAAGTCTGCCATTCTGGCAAGTGATATGGATTCACTGCTCCCAAAGTCCTCTATCCTTCCCATTTCTCTGAGGGCATTGATAATATCAGCATGATCCAAAGGCTAACCGTCGGTAGTGATAGCGGATCCAGCCAACCTGTCAGCTCTTTCATTTTGTACAACTAAGTGACATAGATCAATCAAATATTACTAAGTGATAATCACATATAACAGTGAGCTAAACTAAGTCAGCAGTCGACATATAGAGCATTCAGGACATTCCCATACATAGCACAGCACTCTGTCCCCATCTTCAGCAGGCATCAGAGAGTTCCGATTCCGATGGAAACTGCAGCAGTTTTATTCTATGTTCATCTTGTCTTTCCTGTGAGGGCAGTCTCCACATATTATGTGTCCATCTTGTCTTTCCTGTGAGGGCAGTCTCCATATATTATATGTCTATCTTGTCTTTCCTGTGAGGGCAGTGTGTCTGCAAGATCTCCATATATTATATGTCCATCTTGTCTTTCCTGTGAGGGTAGTGTGTCGGCAAGATCTCCATATATTATATGTCCATCTTGTCTTTCCTGTGAGGGCAGTCTCCATATATTATATGTCCATCTTGTCTTTCCTGTGAGGGTAGTCTCCATATATTATATGTCCATCTTGTCTTTCCTGTGAGGGTAGTCTCCATATATTCTATGTCTATCTTGTCTTTCCTGTGAGGGCAGTCTCCATATATTCTATGTCCATCTTGTCTTTCCTGTGAGGGCAGTCTCCATATATTCTATGTCTATCTTGTCTTTCCTGTGAGGGCAGTCTCCATATATTCTATGTCTATCTTGTCTTTCCTGTGAGGGCAGTGTGTCGGCAAGATCTCCATATATTCTATGTCCATCTTGTCTTTCCTGTGAGGGTAGTCTCCATATATTATATGTCCATCTTGTCTTTCCTGTGAGGGTAGTCTCCATATATTCTATGTCTATCTTGTCTTTCCTGTGAGGGCAGTCTCCATATATTCTATGTCTATCTTGTCTTTCCTGTGAGGGCAGTCTCCATATATTATATGTCCATCTTGTCTTTCCTGTGAGGGTAGTCTCCATATATTATATGTCCATCTTGTCTTTCCTGTGAGGGTAGTCTCCATATATTCTATGTCCATCTTGTCTTTCCTGTGAGGGCAGTCTCCATATATTATATGTCCATCTTGTCTTTCCTGTGAGGGCAGTCTCCATATATTATATGTCCATCTTGTCTTTCCTGTGAGGGCAGTGTGTCGGCAAGATCTCCATATATTCTATGTCTATCTTGTCTTTCCTGTGAGGGCAGTCTCCATATATTATATGTCCATCTTGTCTTTCCTGTGAGGGCAGTGTGTCGGCAAGATCTCCATATATTCTATGTCAATCTTGTCTTTCCTGTGAGGGCAGTCTCCATATATTCTATGTCTATCTTGTCTTTCCTGTGAGGGCAGTCTCCATATATTCTATGTCTATCTTGTCTTTCCTGTGAGGGCAGTCTCCATATATTCTATGTCTATCTTGTCTTTCCTGTGAGGGCAGTCTCCATATATTCTATGTCTATCTTGTCTTTCCTGTGAGGGCAGTCTCCATATATTCTGTGTCTATCTTGTCTTTCCTGTGAGGGCAGTGTGTTGGCAAGATCTCCATATATTCTATGTCCATCTTGTCTTTCCTGTGAGGGCAGTGTGTCGGCAAGATCTCCATATATTCTATGTCCATCTTGTCTTTCCTGTGAGGGCAGTGTGTCGGCAAGATCTCCATATATTCTATGTCTATCTTGTCTTTCCTGTGAGGGTAGTCTCCATATATTCTATGTCTATCTTGTCTTTCCTGTGAGGGCAGTCTCCATATATTCTATGTCTATCTTGTCTTTCCTGTGAGGGCAGTCTCCATATATTATATGTCTATCTTGTCTTTCCTGTGAGGGCAGTCTCCATATATTCTATGTCTATCTTGTCTTTCCTGTGAGGGCAGTCTCCATATATTATATGTCTATCTTGTCTTTCCTGTGAGGGTAGTCTCCATATATTCTATGTCTATCTTGTCTTTCCTGTGAGGGCAGTCTCCATATATTCTATGTCTATCTTGTCTTTCCTGTGAGGGCAGTCTCCATATATTCTATGTCTATCCTGTCTTTCCTGTGAGGGTAGTCTCCATATATTCTATGTCTATCTTGTCTTTCCTGTGAGGGCAGTCTCCATATATTCTATGTCTATCTTGTCTTTCCTGTGAGGGTAGTCTCCATATATTATATGTCTATCTTGTCTTTCCTGTGAGGGTAGTCTCCATATATTATATGTCTATCTTGTCTTTCCTGTGAGGGCAGTGTGTCGGCAAGATCTCCATATATTATATTTCAATCAGGGGATCATTCCTCTAGCAAAATACTGGGAATTATGGTGCTGGTCATACATTTTTTATAAAACAATCAGAATTTTATAACATTTAGTGTAACACTAACCACATTTATTTTCCATTACATTTTCTGGTAAACATTTAAAAAAATACTTACTCCTTGTCCTGGCGATGTAAGAGAGACAAGCCCACCCTGTGTGAGAGTGATGGGAAGAGTAACTGCCCCTGAGCTTCCAGTGGTCATGACATGAAGCACCTCAGCGCCATCTAAGACAGCCGCATCAATTTCTGACGTTAGTTCCTTCTTTGTATCTACATTAGTTCCCCCCTCCATTGTCGTCATAGTCAGGAACTAAAGATAGCATGCAGCTGACACTTGTCATCTAACAAAACAAATAAACAACAGCTAAAACAACAGAACACGTCTGTCAACACTAAATCGCTACAGCTGCGACCCAACAACACTTTCAGATTGTTACATTTCTCCAGCTTTCATTCCTTCTCCTTTTCATCATTTTGTCCATTTTGATATACAAAATACAACTGCTATGTAAAAGTTAAAGATGAGTGTCTGAAAGGGCTGAATGCAAATTGGGACTGCGTGTCCAATTTATAACCTTTTGGAAATAAAGTTTGTTGGTTCCTTTGTATCTTTGTTGCTCAAAGTGAAGTATGGACTGTCAGACAGAGTGAGACTGTTTTTGTGCTACTTAAGTGGTTTCTGGTCTCTTTTGCCCTCTGTCTGCATGGCTGGCTCATATTTTAATTTCCAATTTGTACATCACTGTTTGATGTGGTATACATTATTTTGTTAGCAGAGTTAAATAGCTGAACCATTTCATTTCTCATTTTATAAAAAAAACTGTAGTGCTGCTATTTTCTGCAGGATTTGATCATTTCTGATGTTCCCTTCTCAGTCCACAGAGTGATCTTGCTCAGCGTTATCATGGTTAAACACGTTTCATTTACACAAAAGTTTCAACATACAATGCTCTCTCAAATGGTTAATCTAGAATTCATCCAAATATCAAAGCATGCTGAGTATCAAAATACAGGACCATATCATGACAGACATTTGGCACTTCATGAACTGCTGGTAATAAATAATAATAATAAAAAAAAAAACATGACAGAGAGTGAACTGGCTCAAAAAACAATTGGTACAATTGAAACCTGAACACAACAATAAATGTACACAATCTGTACAGGAGCAGATATGCTATACAGCAAGGCCTGACTCCACTGCACTGGGCTTTATCTACTCTGGCTTGATCACCCTCTACAGAGTGACTGCCACCTACCAGGAGCATCACACAAAGTATGAGTTCCATGGCTAATGTGAAGATATGAGTTCCATAGCTAATGTGAAGATATGAGTTCCATAACTAATGTGAAGATATGAGTTCCATAACTAATGTGAAGATATGAGTTCCATAGCTAATGTGAAGATATGAGTTCCATAGCTAATGTGAAGATATGAGTTTCATAGCTAATGTGAAGATTTCAGGGGATCTTTAAAAAAAATGTGCACCTGTCAACTGTATACGAACCTATGACTTTCAGAGACAAAGGACTTGATAATTTCATCACAGAGAGGTCTTCTTCTTCTTAGCATTTACCAGTTATAAAGTCTGACAGAAAGTTCTGGCTGTTCATCCACTTGTGAACTTTGGTCTTGTTCCAGGATCTGAGTTTTGCAGGTACATCCAATTTACATAAGACTGTTGGTTCCATGATTTTCAGACAGATGCATTCTGACTTCAAAGGAAACACCTCTAATTAGTTGCCTTTCAATACAATCTGGTTAAGGGGCATGGTCCATTCTTTATCTCCCACAATGGGGCCCCAGGAGCCACACAGGCAGAAAGAAAGTCCGAAAAAACGACAGGCAAATAACAAGCAATAATAAAGTCACAGGCTTATCAAGAAAAGAGGTGGCTAGCAAAATACTAAAAATGAAATGAAGATATGAAAGAGAAATGACACAAAAACAAATGGAAAACTTCAATCTGGCAACACATAACAATACAAGCAATGCTTTCCCTCTTGGGAAACAGATCATCAGTCTAGAGAGAATGATGCAGTGGGGAGTGACCAGGAGATCTGCTCTATTATCAAAACTCACAGGAAAGGCAACACCGACAAACAGTCGGACTGCTAATGGTACCATCTGACCTGGAATTCTATGCTGGCTGTTTTAGATGGTGCTAGAACCCTTATAGGAGTGTCCTGAGTGCTGTGATGATTAGTAACTTAAGTTTCCCCAAAGTGAGGACACAAACAATATATTGCTGCAGCTCATCAGGTGCTTTACTATACAGTTTACATCAGCATGCAAATCTTGAGCTTCAGTATGTTTATAGAAAATCTGCACTAATGCATGAATAATGAGGGATATGGTGAGATAAGCCGGACAACACACTGTCTGTGTTTTCATTATTTTCAACAATATAAACAATACAAATTTTATTAAAATATGCAGCGACAGAGAGGATCACAGTAATTTTCACTCTAGACCAGACCTTTAACATAAAATAATGAATTACTGTATACACACACACATATATATATGCGAGGGTGTTGGAAGATGAAAAGATGTAGATGAATAAATAAAGATGTATATAAGTATGTATGTGTATGCATACATGTGTGTATGTAAATATGAGTAGGTTATGTATATGGCTTATTAACATGAAGTTTCTGGGTGGAATACAATTGTTGTGGGAGAGAGAAAGGCTTGAACGGGCTGAATGTTAGATGGGCCTGAGTGCCCAATTTGTAACCCTTAGAAAATAAAGTTTGTTGTTGGGTGTTATCCTGGGCTACACTACAGATGTGGTTAGTGTGTGTCATAATGGCAGTTGTTTCCAGCAAGGCTAGAGAGCAATATCCCGCGGTGATCATATTTCACACATCTACAGTGGATGGTCCAGGGTACCAGACAAGAGTACACTCAGTAAGACAAATCTGCTTGCCTTCTCAGAAACTATCTTAACTTGGGAGTAGGCGTGTCCATGGCAAAGGTAGCGGAAACTAGGCCTGTATACAAATGTGTGAATCCATCTGGAAGTGCCTTTTCTTGCCACGACAAAAGCCTACTGCTTCCTGGACTGTGGGTTACCGTCATTTGTATTTTTATCACCATCATCATTCACATGAAGGATACTTAGCCAGTTGCCAGTAGCAACGGTGGGTTTCAGAGCAACAGTTCGGTGACCTAACCATTTGCATAAAATATGCCATTGACCCAGATCCTGGCTGACCGTGAGCTAAAGGACAAAGGTCGCCGGGGATCAATACTTTCTTAAGAGATTCCTCTCGCCATTTCGGTTTTCAATCGCCACCAGTTTGCCCACATTACCAAAATATATGTTCTCGAAACACCTGGCAGGTGCAGAAAGTGGCTAGCGAGGATGTCTGCTGTGGATGAGCTGGCCCGCCAAAGGTCATGCACCCAAGACCCATGCGGTAGAAGATGGGGTTATGTTTACGAACGTTCCCCTAGACTTGGGCCAGAATCGCCAGACTTCCTGCCCCATCAACCGGCGACACCGCTCTCAATCGTCATCTTCACACACCTCTAACAACAATAAACCGCCGACAATATCCTTCACTAACATCAAACCGATCGAAATTAAAAAATAAGGCGACTTTTATATAGCTAACAAGTCAATATCCGTTAGGAAAGAGATTCGCGCGAGCACAGCTACGAGGATGAGTGACTGCCTAGAATGGCGGCTCACCATGACTAACTACGACTGAGATTTCCCACTGTAGATACATCAAACCCAAAAGTAACTTGACGTGGTACATAAATGTCGATGAAATCAAACGTTTATACTTACTAAAGAAATTATCCGGGGAATATTTGCAGATTTTGAAATCCTAAATGTGGACGGTTCTTGTCGTCTGGAGAGAAAGGTCAGAGGTTGTGACCCACAGTTTTGGCAGACGCAGGAGAACAGCTCGTTGATGATTGGACGGCTCCGGCGTGAATCTCGGCCCTGGCCCCGAGAGTGACGACTGCGCATTCCGGAAACGAAAAATGTTAATGAAAATAAATCGAAAGAAGACCGTGGGGAACTTTCTATCTATCTATCTATCTATCTATCTATCTATCTATCTATCTATCTATCTATCTATCTATCTATCTATCTATCTATCTATCTATCTATCTATCTATCTATCTATCTATCTATCTATCTATCTATCTATCTGTCTATCTGTCTGTCTGTCTGTCCTATTTGTCTGTCTGTCTATCTATATATCTATCTATCTATCTATCTATCTATCTATCTATCTATCTATCTATCTATCTATCTATCTATCTATCTATCTATCTATCTATCTATCTATCTATCTATCTATCTATCTATCTATCTATCTTATCTGTCTGACTATCTATCTATCTATCTATCTATATATCTATCTATCTGTATGTCTGTCTGACTATCTGTCTGTCTGTCTGACTATCTATCTATCTATCTATCTATCTATCTATCTATCTATCTATCTATCTATCTATCTATCTATCTATCTATCTATCTATCTATCTATCTATCTATCTATCTATCTATCTATATGTGTTTGTGAATGCATTCCTGCGTGTTTGTGTGGGTGTCAGTATGTGTTTGTATTTGTGTGTGTCTGTTTGACTGCGTGTGTGTCTATGTGGCCGTATGTATGTGTCTGCATGTTTGTCTGCGTATGTATGTGTGTATGCCTGTATGTATGTGTGTATGGCTGTATGTATGTATGCCTGTATGTGTCTATGCCTGTATGTATGCATGCACGTATGTGTGTAAGTGAGTGGATGAGCGTGTGTATGTGTGTGTATGTATGTGGGTAGCACGCGCGAGTTTTTACATGCACTTTACAACTCATGCTTTTGTGTTCTTTTATAATATTGATAATATGATCATAACATGCTTTATTAGTAAAATACAACTACTGTGCGAAAGATGGTTGACTTAAAGGGCCGAATGTAAGACAGGCCTGCGTGCCCAATTTGTGACCCTTTGAAAATAAAGCTCGTTCGTTCGTTTGTTCTATCTTTCTATTGTGTAGTTCGTCCATCAAGAGTGATGAAGACCACTTTTCATCTGAAGCAGCAACAATGAATATGAGTACAAGGGTGGCTGATTAGTCCTATATGAGCCCGGAAAGTTCTTGATCAGTGCGGACAACGGGTGGAAGCCACAGTACATGCGGGTTTAGCTTTACTTTTCCTTCTAGTCTGCCTCAGTTTCTCTGCCTCTGCAACCTCCGCTGCCTGACAGGTTGATGCACAATGCCTGAAGGATGTACCTACTCCATCTAAAACGGTTTTGTGCAGCAGCCTCCCACGTCGATGTGCTGATACCAAAAGAATTGAGAGCAGTTTTGAGTGTCCTTATAGCGCCTTTTCGGTCCTCTCTAGGACTTCTTCCCTCGCTGGAGTTCGCCATAAAACACTCTCTTTGGGAAGCGATAGTCTGGCTATGTGACTAGCCCAACACAGCTTATAATTCTTCAAGGTCGTGTAAATGCTGGGCAGGTTTGCCCTGTCAAAAACCAGTGTTTGGGACCCTATATTGCCCCTTGAGCAGCTTTCTGAGACAAGTTATATGAAACTGATTCAACTTTTTAGCATGGTGATGATATACAGTACACGAATCACAAGCTGGGAGAACTACAGCTCCGTAAACCTTCAGCTTGGTCAGCAGGGAGATACCACTTCTGTTCCAGACACTGGGTATAAAGTCTGCCGCAATGCTGCTGGCCTTTGAGATTCTAGCGTTGATCTCGTCGCCGATGTTGACTTTCTGAGATAGGGTATTGCCAAGATAAGTTAATATATCGACTTCATTTCACTTTTGTTCATTTACAGATCTATATCTGTCAGTCCGCCACCGTAAAGGTTTGGTCACCCTGCGAATTGAAGAGACACACCCTGGATAGCAATCTTCTGCTTCTCTAACCTTGTGTTGACTTTCATCGTCAAGTTTTGATGTACTACGTAGATGCTAGTGTTTACACCCTCGGATATTCCATCTATCCATTATTTGCGTGGTCGACCTCCAGGTATGCTTCTATGTGTCTAGAGAGAGCTCTCTGTGGTGTCCTGTCTGATTTTAGTCTTGACTCACCCCGGTCTCGTGTTAATGGAGCTCTGGCTCGCCAGGTGGGAGGGAATCCGTGTGATATACTTCCTTAAACTGGGATAGACCCAGCAAACCGGCAGTGGATTAAAATCTCGCTTGAAGAAACAATAAAAAGGTAAATCGGACTGACAGCAAAAAAAAAAAAAAAAAAAGGGGGGGGGGGGGGTTTATCACTTGTGTGATGTCCTAGTGGGGTAAAATGTACTACTACTACCACTGATCTAGACATGAGACCAGAACATTGACTAGCTTGAAGTAACAAATAATATCGAAAGAAAGAAAAAAACATTGACAAGATGATAAATTTATTGTCCTCTGATGATACCCACGTATGAATGAATAATATATGAAGGTATATGATGTACAAACATATGTGTATATATGTCACTGATAATGTTATTAGCCCACAAATACCAGAACACTGTAAAGATAAAAAGGAAATTTTCCTTCACCATTATTCTCAGTGTATAAACAACAAGATTCAGTACAGATCACAATAGTGCTCTTCTAATACAACACATAAACAAATAGACTGTTTGGCGCAGAGAGAGAGAGAGAGAGAGAGAGAGAGAGAGAGAGAGAGAGAGAGAGAGAGACGAGACAGAGTAAAGAAGGAACACAGATAAGAGGATGGAAGAAGTGATACAGAGGAAAAGAGCTAGGAAGATAGGCGGGGGAAATCCCAGATACCTGGTTAAAAACCTGGGAAGCTATAATTAGAGCAATTTCGGCCTCGCCAAGCGCTACCCCGGTGAATGGTAGTGGTTGTTCAAACTGTATCTTTATATAGAGGTGACAGGTGAAAATTTATGGCACTGGTAGGAGGGGGGGGGGGGGGGGGGGGGGTGGGATGATTGCATGTGATAATGATTGCGGAAGTTGGTTCTCCTACACATGAAGTGGCAAGACGATACCGCAAGTGTCAAACTTTCCTCACGATTATAATATTATGTTACCCCGTGTGGGTTCCGGGGCCCTTTTGTAGGGAAAATAAGAATAGATCCACTGCCTACCCAAAAGCATGTGGTAAGAGTCGACTAATTAGGAGCTTCCTTCGAAGTCGGAGTGCTTCTGCCTGAGAAGCAAAGAACCAGCAGTCTGCATACAAATGAATCAGATCTGTAAAACGGATGCACACGCAACACTCAGGTTCTGGAACAGGACTGCTGGCCAGAAGTGGAGGAACAACCAGAACTTTCCCCCATAGTTTACAGCTGGTGATCGCAAAGAAGGAGAGGAATATCATATTTTCTTGTCTTTTCCATATCTACATTAACATTTAAAAAAAAGGGGGGGGGGGGGGGGGTGGGGGCGGGGGACGAACCAAAGAACTGTATTTTTAAAGTGTCACAAATTGGGCACACAGACCCGTCTTTCATTCGGCTCTTCAAAAACCGATCTCTCACACAGCAGTAGGCGATAGGCGGCAAGCGAGCGAGAGGCATACAGCGATAAAAGTGAGAGAATAAGAAGAAGAGATGGGCGGACAGCAGTCTGAGAGAACTTACAACCAAGGCGAAAGACTAAAGTGGTTGCAGCCAATCGTCATTGTGGTGTCGCTGCCTAACTGAGTGATCTGCATACTGTCAGCGGTAACGGATAAGTTTTCCTGTCCCAGTTGCTCCAAAATATGTGACATGTTTGCTGCCGACAGGATCTCAGAAACACATGAAGTGGGTGAATGGTTGTTTGTAGCTTTTTCGTAGGACTCTTTAAGGCCGATGCTTTGCTGGGCCGTCTCAACAGGATAATATAGGAATAAAATGTAAGTGGTCGATAATACTGAACACATATTTATTTTGTTGGCACTTCAACAAAACTTCTGTTAAAACATACACAAAATAGATTAGATGGCATAGTTTAATATTACTATGATCTTATAACAAGCATTTGCGGCCTTTCTTTTCCCTGGATTGATTTATTGCTGGCTTGAAGTCAGTGGGCTTCAATAATAAAGTAAAGGACCCTTTTCCACGCCTTTAGGCGTATAGGGCATATAGGGCTAGACCTATATTTTATAGACCAACGGCACAAGATGGGTGATGTGGTCAGCATCACGCCGGCCGCCTCTACTTCCCGGGACTGCACTCGGTACCCACTCAAGGCTGGGATGACCTGGGAGCCATGGTCATTTTTGAAGAAAAGTCCGGCTCCGCCAGGAAACGAACCCACGACCTTCCGATCCGCGCGCGTTTAGCCCCTCTGCCACAGCGACTCCCAGTGGTCTCCAGGCTGTCATTTTTCATGCACAAAGGTGAAAGTCAGTTCTAACGACGATGTCCAATTTTGAAACGTAGCATGTTAAAAAAAAAAAAATTGTCAGTCTTGAAAAAGAACTCTTTCTTGTACAGTTGATTACAGTCTGGAACTTGATCACTGAGTGAACATTTACACATTCGGGGAAACATTTCCAACTATCTAAAATTTTATTTTCAATGACAGCCATACTGTGCGTGACAGATATTAATTTAAAAGGACATCATAATTGAGGTCTTTATGAGACATATTAGCCAGATGTTCTCACTTGTTTCTTTAGTGCCTCAGAAGAAAATGGTTTTCAATTCACTGAAAAAGTGAAGATACAGGACCTTTTCCACACCTTTCAGGCGTTTTGGGTATATAGGGCTAGACCTATATTTTATAGACCAAACAGCACTTGGTGGGTGATGTGGTCAGCACCACACCGACCGCCTTTACTTCCCAGGAAGTAAAGTGCTGGTACGCACTCAAGGCTGGGGCGGCATGGGAGCCAAGGTCGTTTTTTTTAAAAAGTCCGGTCGCCGTCAAGATTCGAACCCACGACCTTCCGATCCGCAGGGAAGCGTCTAGCCGCTAGACCACGGTGGCTCATAGTTTACTGAAGAAAGAACAAAACATGTTTTTAATTT